GTGCAAGGGCTGTTCTGCCGACAGCTAATGGCCACCTCGTCACCAGAGACAGAAACCAGATGAATGGCCTACATCCGTTGATCACCATCAGGCTCTGCAGCCCATCAGGGTTCGAAACAGATGAATATACCCCATATAGCACCTTTCCGCGTGCAATGAGACGAGCTCAGCGGAGTGCAAAGGCTGCAATATCAATGATCACCTTCTCTGGTGCAAATGTCCAAAACATTTCGGACTCAGAGGTGCAAAGGCTGATCTATTGAAGCAGGGGCAGAGAAATATAGCCGGAGTCTGCCAAGGTGACAGGGAAAGCCAGAATGAAATGGGGATAATCAAAGGCTATTCTCCACGCTTTAACATGGTGAGCCAGACCTCCGCCGAGGCCCCATACTCTAGAGCCGCGAGTGCCTGTGTAATCATGACTTTATCTGTTTTTGCCTTTTTGAACACTTTGCAAAACAAAAAGAATAAAATTGCCATTCCGAAGCAGAGAAACATCCCGAAGCAGAGAAACATCCCGAAGAGTCCCACCCCCACCCATTCCTTGAAATAAGAGAAGACAGAAGAGATCCATGACGACAGTCCTTCTTGTAGGGAGACATCAATTCTGGTGGATCGCTGTTCTCAAGTCCTGCAGTATCTGTTCAAATTCGAATGTCCAATTCTGTAAAATGAACTGAGAAAGACTTTTGGACAAATTAGCCGCTCTAATAAAATTTTCATATTGTATTGATGTAACACAAAGTCCAGGCATTTTATATTCACATCCTAACTGCGCCAATTGCCATAAAATATCCAATTGTTCTTGAACCAGGTCGATGCGCTGATTAACCAGCATCAACCCTCCCTGAATTTGAGTATTTGCCGAACTTTGTCGGTCGAGCGCCACTGATACTGATGATGAAAGACCATCAAGAGTATCTGCCGTTTGTACAGATGTGGATAGGGCCATTGCCGAGGCGGTCACAGAGGCAGCCACTGCTGTAGTGGCCACAATGGCTACAATTATGGCCGAGATGCCGAAATCTCTTTTTGTGCGTAGCAGAGACAAGCTACTCGGGGCTTTCACCGGCACGGGCACAAACCTCGGCATTCTAGTCACCACAGCATAAGAATATTTCGTGGCATCCCAGCATAATGTATAAAAGCAGCTCTTGGTATCACATCTTAATTCCTCATTCTCACCTATAAAATTATTGCTTACAATCCATAAAAAGGGGGCCAAACACAAACTGGTGATGGGGCATATTCTTTTCTAATAAATTCTTTATGCTTCATATCTGAAGCTTGCCAAGTGCCGGAGCCAGATCCCCCGAAAATTTGCCCTTCCAATTGTAAGAGATTTGTCCTTTTTCCCCAGCTCCTCCTCCTATCATTACCATAGGAGTCAAATCCGTCAAAGGGATTGACCCAAGTTGTCAAGGGTGTCATATTCAAAAAATGATGCCCTAGGCTGGGTGAGAAAGTGAAGGTATTAGGGCCTACCCAGTGTTGATACCTAGATTGACATTCAGTCCAAGGCAGGATATACTCTTCTGATTGAATCCCTTTACAAAATGGGGCTAACTTTGGCTGATCATGGGGAGTAGCATTAGTACTAACCGGCAGCGCCCAACATCGGATGCATTGGCTACAATCTCTAAATCAGTTCCCCAACTAGCCTCGCCTTGCCAGGCAGCCGATTGATTCCTCAAATTAACACAGTTAATACTATTTTTATTATCATTTACTTTGGAAAAATGAAAGCATAAGCTTCCTCTTAAGGAGAGGGAGCGATTTTCTTGTACTGCATGAATCTGATTATCTTGGGGCAAATAAGCTAGCCCTAGCTCTTTATTGGTGAAAAAAAATCTAGGAAACACTTGTGCATTATACATCACCGGCATGGGGAGGGGAAAGGTCGACATGATTCCCCATCTTCTTTCTCCCGTTGCCCTCCAGGCTTGAGCCATGATCATTATCATCAGGGTTCCCCATCTTACGAATGAGTCTTTCCGGAACCCAGAACGGATTGTCTTCATCCTGTGGAAAAACACAGACAGCTCCCCTGGACCTTATCAGGATAGGATCCGGGCCTTTCCATTGATTAGTTAGCACATCTTTCCATTTCACCCATTCCTTGGGCCTTTTAGGTTCTGTGCAATGTCGCTCAGCCGCACTCATCCCTGAATCATCCAAGTTCAAAAAATTCAGGGTAAAGAGTGACATGGCTATGGCCACTCTCGGTCCAGGGGGTAGCTCCATTATTGCTCCCCTTTTTGCTTTAATAAATATGATTTAAGTGTCCGATGTGCTCTCTCAATGATGCCCTGACCTTGAGGATTATAGGGCAATCCAGTAATATGAGTAACTTGCATTTGTGCACAAAATTGTTTAAATTTTTGTGAAGTATAGGCAGGCCCGTTGTCGGTTTTAAGACAGCGGGGTTTGCCCCAGGCACTCCAGGCCTCAAGACAGTGCTGAATCACATGAGAAGCCTTCTCCCCTGAAAGTGGGGTGGCAAAAAATATTCCAGAACAAGTATCAACAGAAACATGTATATATTGCAATTTACCAAAAGGGACATAATGGGTAACATCCATTTGCCAAACTTGTAAGGGGATCAAACCTCTCGGGTTAATTCCTCGATGGGGGACAGGCAAAAACTGACAGCAATTTTGACATTGTATCACTATATCTCTAGCTTCTTTTCTGGTTAAAGAAAAGCGTCTGCGTAATGTCTCTGAAGTAACATGAAATTTATTATGAAATTCTTTTGCAGCTATTATGGGTGAAGAAAGCGCAACAGCTGCAAGTCTAGTGGCTTGATCAGCGAGCGCGTTCCCTTTTGCCATGGGGCCGGGAAGACCAGAATGAGCTCTTATGTGTTCAATAAAGAAAGGATGCCGCCTTTGCAGCAGAGCAGCTCTAATGGCTTCAAATATGTGAGCCACCTTACTAGAAGGTCTAATCAACCCGGCAGTTTCAAGAATTTTAACTGCATTAACTACATATAATGAATCTGAAACAATATTAAGTGGGCCCATAAATTGTTGTAAAACTTCTAATACCACGAGGCATTCAACGACTTGTGGGGAAGATTCAGGAAAATGTTTTATATAAGTCATATCATTTACAACATAGGCCCCTTGTCCTGTTTTAGAACCATCTGTATATACTACTATCCCATTCTTAATTGGGGTATTAGAGGTAATTTTTGGGAAAACTAAAGGCTGGGCCAAAGCAAACTGTAAAAGTGGATGCCTGGGATAATGATTATCAAAGGTCCCTGAAAAATTTGCACCAGAGAAGGTGATCATTGATATTGCAGCCTTTGCACTCCGCTGAGCTCGTCTCATTGCACGCGGAAAGGTGCTATATGGGGTATATTCATCTGTTTCGAACCCTGATGGGCTGCAGAGCCTGATGGTGATCAACGGATGTAGGCCATTCATCTGGTTTCTGTCTCTGGTGACGAGGTGGCCATTAGCTGTCGGCAGAACAGCCCTTGCACCCTCAGCGACTTTGTTGCATTGCACGAGGATGGGTGTTTTAGCCTATGCAGCCCAGTTGGGACACTTTTGTGTGCTTTTATTAAAATAAAAAGGGGGAGATGTTGGGCGCTGCCCTGGAACCACGCCATGGCGAGATGGCGCTGACATCCGCCTGACAGTTGCAATGACAACCCTGCTGCGCATTCCTTAAATGTAGCTACAGAGGGATACTGTACTTCACTTGGTAGCCATATTTTACTGCCTGTAACTTTTACTCCTAGTGACAGGAATGTTCAATTTATGTTAGTAGAACAACTATTGACATTGTGGGACCTTTGAGATGGCTCAGCTGAGCCACAGATGATTCCAACAAGGTGGAAGGAGAAAACCAACTCTGACAAGTTGTTTGTAAAACACTTACCATTTAGCTACCCCCCCTTTTGTTTTTAATTCTATTGTATCCTGTCTCCCTAAATTACTAGGATTAAGTTAATATTTATTTACTTACAAAGTTCCCCAAAACAGTCTCTTGGAATAGCCAAGGCTGCCTGCGTTCCTCATTTTAAGACTGTTGGCCACAGAGCCAAAGGATTTAAATTTATGTGGTCACAGAAATATAAAAAAAAAAGCTGCCTTATTTACTCGTTGCTTGATGTTTTCGAGTACATCAGTTAACAATGAATGCTCAGCTAGAAAACAAATTTACCAATGCGCCCATTCCTCAAAATAACGACCTTTTCTTTTTTTTTTTTTTTTTTTTGAGACAGGGTTTCCATGTGTAGACCAGCCTGGCCTCGAGCTCAGAGACTCTTCTCCTGCCTCCTAGGTGCTGGCATTGAAGGCGTGCGCCACCCACGCTCCGCCAAAATTAGACTTTTTTTCACAGAGTCCGACTGTACCACTTGCAACCTACAGAAAAGAGCAGGGGCTTGAGCTCCGGGTAAGCAAGAGGCTCAGGTGGCTGGACTTCCTTCAGTGGGTAACGAAGCCCTCACTGAAACCTCGAGTCGCTTGGAATTATTTAAAAAAAAAAAAAAAGGCAGCAGCAGTTTGTCCCCCGGAAGCCACCGAGGGTCCCTAACCCCAGGGGAGTCCGAAAGCGCTCGCCCGGCCCACAGAAGGCGCTCCCCACGAGCTACCGGGAGCCTCCCGAGCCCCGGACCGCACCCGCCGCTCCCCACCCCCGGCGCCGGGCGGAACCTGGGCGGCGCGCGCTTCCGGTGCGCGCTTCCGGCCAGCGGCGGAGCGCGGGGCGGTGGGGGGGGGGCCACCGCCGGCTTCCAATCGCGCACAATGAGACGGCGCTGAGCGCCGGAAGTGGGGCCGAAGGAAAACACGGAGAGGAGCCGGGCCGGACAGGAAGCGGCGGGGGTGTGTGTAGGGGGGGAACCGCAGCGGCGCTGGTGAGTGCTCCCGGGGGCGCCGTCTCGTCGCGTCCCTCCCGGACTCGCCTCCGGGCTGGGCCCGTGGGTTCCCCGGGCCCCGAGGAGCGCGTCTCGCCCGGCCCCGAGGTACGTTGGCGCCGTCCTTCTCGGGCCGCCTCGGCCCGGCTGCGCGCCGGGAGCCCTCGGGGTCGAGTCCGCGTCTTCACTTTGTGTCGGGGCTCCGGCGCCGGCCCCGGTGGGGGGACCCCGGAACCCTGCCAATGGCCGGGCGCTTCCTGCTTCCTGGTCCCCGCGGCGGCGGCGGCGGCGGCGGCGCAGCCAGTAAGTGCGGGGCCGCTGCCTCGGGTCGCCCGGGGACTCCGCTGGTGGAAACTGAGGCACACAGGGGTGGGGCAGCCGGATGGGGAAGGAAACGGAGAGTCCTTCGGCCGAGGATTGCGGTCGGTGTCGGAGCCGGACTTGTCTGGGGCTGGGGCCTGAGAAACCGGGTAAGTCAGCCGGCGGGGGTCGCCTGGGGTTGCCGGGCGCGCCGTCGCCCCCTCGGCCCCGCGGTCGCGCCCGGGTCTGCGGTGAAAAGCGGAGCAAAGAGAGGAGGGGGGCTGATCCACGTTGAAACCTGCTCGCGTAGCTCCGGCTGCTTTGACACTTGAAAGTAATTGCCGACCTTTCCCCCCACCCTTTTTTTTTTAAACATAGACTTGGGAGTTTTGTAACAGTGTTGACTTTGGGTTGTTTGCTCTGAAGAGGGGTGTTTTTTATTGTTGTTGTTGTTGTTACATAGAAGCTGACCAAGTTGCTACATTAGTTTTTTTTTTTTTGAGGTTGTAGAGGCGTCTTCACATCTAGTCGGAGTATTAAAGGACTAATTTTTTTTATGAGCTCCGTAGGGCTGAGCCTCCTAACTACTGGAATGCACTAATTATTAGGACTGCGATAGCGATTTCGTGTTTTTTAAATGGTGGTGGGTGGGGGTGGAATTAAGGCTTCAGGGCATCAGCGTGTTACGTGGAGTATTTGGTGTGATATTGTCTAATAGTCTTGTTTCTCCCAAAAAACGCCTTCTTCCAGGAACAAAGTAAGAGAAGTTGAAGTCAAAGACCATGGGAGATACGGCGAAACCTTACTTTGTGAAGCGCACTAAAGATCGTGGAATTACTGATGATGATGATTTCAGAAGGGCTCATCCCCAACAAGATTATTTAATAATGGATGATTATGCTAAAGGCCATGGCAGTAAAACGGAAAAAGGCCTTCCCAAAAAAAAGATAGCGCCCGGGAACTATGGGAACACCCCCAGGAAAGGACCGTATGCGGTTTCCAGCAACCCGTATGCATTTAAAAACCCAATTTACAGTCAGCCTTCTTGGATGAATGACAGCCACAAGGATCAAAATAAGAGATGGCTGCCCGATGAACTTACCGGTAATGCCGATGGCTGGAGAGAGTTCAAGCCTGGGCCCAGGATTCCTACCATTAGCCGTTCGAGGAGAGAATCCTTTCAAGAAAGTGAGGATGGCTACAGGTGGCAGGATGGACGTGGCTGCAGAGCAGTCAGGAGGCTGTTTCAGAAGGACCTCACCAGCCTAGAAGCCCTGTCGGAAGCGGACGCAGGAAGTCCCGGTATGCCTCAAGTCTCTAGGTTACGTATCTGCATTATGGTTTTTTTCCCCCCGTCCAAATAAGTTTTGTTATTTTCAATAATGAGCTACTTAATGTGATCCGTGTTAGGGTTTATCGTGCTATGGTTGGGTGACTTCACCATATTCTAGACATTGGACTGTCACAAGCTCAAAGCCAGGCTGGGCTGCAGAACAGGGTACTGCCCCTCTCCCCCTTCCCCCCAAAAAAATTACAATACGGAAAAAAGTAAAGCTCACTTTACGTTAGTAAACACCTTATAGCAGAGGTGATACTGCAATTTCCGAGTAATGTGTATGTGTTTTCCTGCTCATAATTTTAACTTTAAAATGTGTTCAAAATGTACATGACAATTTAAAACAAAGTATTTTGTGTGAAGACAGAGTATAGGCTGCATATATTCCAGAGAGAGGGAGGTAGAAAGGGTGGTGGCCAGGGGGAAAGAGGAAGCTTGGGAAAGGGGAACTGAGTTGCTGTGTAAACAGATTCACCCCGCGGCCTGGGAGCACAAGCTAGACAACAGGATTTGGGAACACGTATTTAGAGACCAGAATGCAGATAAGAAGCAAGACTGGGAAGCTGTTTCTTTTTCTGAGACACAGTTTCATGTGGCCGGGGCCAGCCTTGAACCAAGTGCTAACTAAACTCCATTTCCTAGTAACTTCACATGCTTTGTAATAATTACACAAAGTGGCTGTGCACTTTTCTGAAAGGCGCCAGTAGATGTTGTGTAGCAACTACTTCTCAAAACAAGAAAGTTATTTCTGTCTAATTGATGTATTTACTGGCCTGAAATAAAAGTTGTGAATTGGATGCAAAAAAAAAAAGGTGAAAACTGTTTATAGTTTGAAATTGGACTTAAAAAGCACCTTTTTTTTTTTTTTAAGACAGTGTCTTAATGTGTAGTGCTGACTGGCCTGGAACTTACTATGTAGACCAGACTGGCCTCACAGTGGTCCTCCTGCTTCTTCTTTTGAACTAGAGTTTAAAGAACCCTGCCTCAAAAAACAAAAATAAACAAACTGTAAAACCCAGTAGCTTACAGATCTTTGAGCTGGGAAGGCTCTTGTGTGGGATGACAGTGATGTGCAGCCGCAGTCCTACAAATTGGATAGCTGCAGTTTGGAGAGGTTAAAATGGTCCAGATTTGTTGATGCCATGCTGGGCGAAGAAGAGAGACTCAAATTGAAACAGAAATTGGGGATTCATTCTGTGTCTCTGGCCATCACCTCAGGAATGAATAAGGAAACTGCATACTTATTTGTGATTTCTAGGCTTTTGATTTGTTTTTTCTTTTTTATAAGTTTGGGCGTGCTTTAAGTTTTCTAATATTATAGTGCCCATGTAGGTGTGAACACTATATTACATTTGTCTTATGGAAATTTAAAAAATGAAGATAATGTGTGTGTGTTACATGTCTGCAGTCCCAGAACTAGGGGATGGTAGAGATTTGAGGCCAGCCTGCACTACAGTGGCAGGACCTTGGATAGGGGATGAGTTTTGAGAATCATTTTTGGGCCAGGTGTGGTGGTCTGTCTACTCCTATAATGATAACATTTGGGAGGTGGAGACTGGAGGGGTCAGGACTTGGAGATCAGCCTCGGCTGCCTGAGTGAGTTCCAGGCCAGTCTAGCTTCCAGAATGAAATAAAGCAGACAAATGAAAAAGGAATGGGGAAGGAGACTTTTAGGAGTCTCATGCCCCCCTGGCTGAGCGGGAGGGACTACCTCACAAAGCACTTTTAAGCCAGGCTGAGTGCTACATACTGTTATTCCCAGAATGCTAGAGGCAGAGGCCAGCAGATGTGTGAATTCGTGGTCAGCCTGGGCTACATAGTGATTTTCAGACCAGCCAGGGCTGTTTAGTGAGATCCTGTCTAAAATTACTGCTCCTAATAATGATTTTGTAGATGTTTTGCAGCTAGAAAGTTTTAGGAATAACTAGGGAGGTGCCTCAGCAGGTGTGAATGGGAGTACATTGTCGTTGTGTTTACAAAAGCTCATTTAAGTGTGTGCATGGAGTACAGACATAAGTTTCAAGTTGCCAAGTAAGAAATGGATAGCTTCCGTTGAAGATCTTCATAAAGGAAACAAAGGATTTGTGTGTAATAGGAGTTTAATTTGATGTGTAAATCTGCAGTGTATGGAAATGAGCCTAAGAAAGATCAATAAAGGGACTGAAATGTCTTCATAAAAATTAATTAACTTTCTTTTTGCGATGGGGTCTCTCCTGTGTAGCTCTGGTGGGCCTGGAACTCTCTGTGTAGATAAGGTCACCTCACACTCAGAGATCCACCTTCCTCTGCGCCCCTTGTTCTGGGATTAAAGGGGTGTGCCACCATGGCCTGCAATAGTAAGAATTAAAGTATGAGACAATGTGATTAAAAATTGTATTAAAGTTGATTTTTAAAACTTTTTAAGCCGGGCAGTGGTGGTGCACGCCTTTAATCCCAGCCCTCGGGAGGCAGAGGCAGGCGGATCTCTGTGAATTCGAGGCTGGGCTGGACCGATAGCCTCCAAAACAATACAGAGAAACCCTGTCTCGAAAAACCAAAAAAAAACAAAAACAAAAAAAAACAACTTTTTAAGTACTGATTTATTTATTATCTTTTTCAATCCTACATTGTTGACCCTCCCAAACCTCAAGTGCCTTAATTGGCAATTATTTGGGGATTGTCATTAATAGACTGGAGACATCCATTCAAATAAGTATCCATTCAAATGTCCTCTGTGACTGGAGTGATGTACCATATGCAAATAAGATGTGAGGGACTTGGAATGCTCACAGACAGCTGGCGTTGTGACAGGCCAGGGAGCCTGAACCTTCCTGTCAGTGGCTATGGAGCCGCCTTGGACTGTTTTGTTGCTCCTAAGCTGCTCAGGGAGCTTTTCTCGAAGTTGGTACCTGCAGGACTAGGTAGCGCTGTCAGTTCTGTCTGTCCTTGATGTGGGACGTGTGTGTGTGTGTGTGTGTGTGTGTGTGTGTGTGTGTGTGTGTGTGTGTGTGCCACAGGGGGCTTTGTCGGGATTTCACTTTGCGTACTGGGAGGTACAAGGCTAATATCTGCCATATTTTTTTTTCGACACAGGGTTTCTCTGTATTGTTTTGGAGGCTGTCCTGGAACTCGCTTGGTAGACCAGGCTGGCCTCGAACTCACAGAGATCCACCTGCCTCTGCCTCCCGAGTGCTGGGATTAAAGGCGTGCGCCACCACCGCCCGGCCATCTGCCATATTTTAAATTGCAGCTTAGATCTTTATTTTACCTTGGCCCTGTGTCCTTAGGCAAGTCACTTAGTTCTCTGAGACTGCTGTTGTCACCGTGTGCACCATGGGGCTAATCTCAGCATTGATGTGGGCTTACTATAGGGATCAGAGGAGGCAGGGCACATAAAAAAGCACTTGCTTTCCTAATGTTGTGGGATGAGATAGTGATGCTTGCTGTTGACATCACCCAGCATTTGTTCAGCTCTCCCTTGCCAAAAGGAGTAAATCAGTGTCCCAGTGTGGCGGCAAGAGTGCGCCCCTGATCACAGCTACTGCTGCTGACTGCTGATTGATGGGTTGTTTTCCCCAGGCTGGGCAAGTGTCCCCAACATGGCAACGGCACTCTTTAATTTTGTAGGATGTCTGTGCACTATCCATATATAGGAACCCATGGTGGCCGGAGGGGGCGTCAGATCCCCTGGAATTAGAGTTACAGACAGTTGTGGGCCTCCTTAACTGCTTAGCCATCACCCGCCCTCAAAGTGGTATTCTTTAAAACTGGAAGTCCTGTATTTCCTTTTCTACCCAGAATTCTTTTCTGCACTTAGCCAATGCTTTGCAGTTGCTGTCCTGGTAACCAGTTCCTCCGAAAGCTGGGGAGAGGTTGCTCTGTGCAAGATCTTTCCCAAGCACTGATGTATGGAAAGCCAATGAAAATTGCTCCACCTGTTTAATCAGAATTTAAAAAAGATTTGTTATTTTAACTTACATGGGTGTGTGCATGTGTGGATGCCTGCAGAGGCTACTTGGGTGCTAGGAACAGAACCCAGTTACTCTGCAAGAACTAACTTCACTGAGCCCTCTCTCCAGACCCTCATTCAACATTTATTTTATCTTGGGAATAAATATTATTTCAGCCCCATGTTACAATTAGCATTCACTGTCTTTCAGAACCAGGTGGAGTCCCAAGGCTGCTTACCATAGTGTTTAAAGTTCAGTCCCACAATTGTTATATGCGTCACATGTTGAAAAGTAGTTAGCCTGAATGTATTTATTCAGTCTAAGGTTTAGAGAACTAACAATTCATAAAACTTATGTAGGGTAAACTTTGATCTTTCACTGCCAGTTTTTCCCCCCTGTGGCGTGTGCTCAGTCAGTGGTGGTATGTTAAAAAACCAAAGCAAAAGTAAAGTGGGAACTATGGTCTCAGTAAATAAAAGTTTGGCTTGGATTTTTTTCTTCTTAATGAAGGAACCCAATTATGATCGAAGGCTAAATTTGTAGCTAAGTGATTGTATTTGAAACACATAAAAATGTGTTTCTAAGATCTCTGGGTACACGCAATATTGTCCATTCTTACCTACTGGGATTCTTCACTTAAAAAAAAATCAAAACAAGCCTGGTGGTGGTGGCAGCGCAGGACTTTAATAACTTTAATTCCAGCACTTTGGAGACAGAGGCAGGTGGATCTGTGTGAGTTCAAGGCCAGCCTGGTCTACAGAGCAAGTTCCAGGGCGGCTAGGGCTGTTATACAGAGAGACCCTGTCTCGGGAAAAAAAATCAAAACAAATATGAATACTCTTCATTAAAACACCAGGTACATTTACAATTTGGTTGAAAATAATATGTACATTATATATCAAGTGTATTAGAATTGGGAGTACTTTTACTGTTGCATGAGTATGCTCAGCAGTGTAATGTGGGAGGAGATAAAATCAAAGTGTATGGAAAGTACAATCCTTTTTAATTGCAACGATTTGTGTGGATGTGTGAATGTGGAGAATTACTTTCCCCCATTGTTCAGTGTGGGGGCATCATTTATCCTATTGTTGAAATAAGTTCCTATGGGCTTGGGCTAGAGCATGGGGTCTAGCACTTGCCAGCGTGTGTGAGGACCTGGGTTCAATCCCTAGTGCTGTGTGTAAGGAGGTGAATTTAAACGAAGAAAGTTGTGCTTCTTACTCGGAGGGATGGTATTCAACACTGCCAATATTGTCCCCCAACTTAAGAAAACAAGAAACAGCGGTCCAGACCTCGGAAGCCCCGGAGGCCTAGAAATGAGGAGGGCGAACAGGATGGAGAGTTGGAAGGTCCTGTGATTGATGAGTCTGTACTTTCAACAAAGGAACTTCTGGGCTTACATCAGGCTGAGGAACGACTAAAGAGAGACTGCATCGACAGGCTGAAAAGGGTAACATTTTTATGCATACATTTGCTAGATTGTATCTGTATTTTACTTTGCACTGTGTTAGTAATCGCAACATTTACCTCAGTGGGTTAGGCTTTCCACTTCTTTATTCCTGTGTAAGTCTGCACGTGAAGGGATTCTCGGTGTGAGTTAAGAAAATGAAGAGTGACTGCCATTGTACCTAAATAAGAATGGCTGTCAGCTTTGAAAGTCATGGGGGAACCATTATTCTGGCTAATTTTGTTTCTCTAAATGTCTGGAGATAAATCTTTCTGTCAATCTTGTCAAACTGTAGCGACCACGAAATTGCCCTACAGCAAAGTACGCCTGCAAGCTGTGCGATGCTCTGATGGACTCCATCCCGTTCGCTCACAAGCACATGAAGGAGAAGAGGCACAAGAAGAACCTCAAGGTGGGTCCCTGGTGACTCTGTCTTCATGGCTCCCCTGGAGCCCCGTAGGCATCAAAGCAAATTACCAACTGAATTTATTTGAGCCAGAATACTTGTCCCCTACTCAGAAGTGTTTGCTGGGTAGCCCCCGTGAGTTTCCCCAAGTGCAGAGTCAAGCTGTGGGAAGCCATTGGTGGGACCTAGGTGTTCTTATGTAAACGAGGCACGCACTGTCTGTCTTGCTGTCTTTGTTCTCGTCTCCTTGTCCCCACCTGCTCCCTCCCTACTGTCCATATTAAGTACATAGAGCGTGCACGTGCGTTCGTGCATGTGTGTGTGTGTTTGATAGGATGGAGACCACCATGTCTAAGATGAGGATGGCTGTGAGGAGTCCAGAAATTCTGTAGATTTTCATTTTTCACTTTTCAGTGAAAAGTGACAGGTAGCAACTGTGTATGAGTCCTTTTTAATCTTACCATTGATCTTACTAGGAAAAGCAGGAGGAAGAGTTGCTCACCACGCTGCCCCCGCCAGCGCCTTCCCAGATAAATGCAATTGGCAGTGCCATTGACAAAGTGGTGCAGGAGTTTGGTTTACACAATGAAAGCTTGGATCAGAGGCTAGAGATTAAGCATGCCATGGAAACTGTGTTCCAGCACAAACTACCAGGTATTTTCTGGATTTGTTTTTCTATTTAGCATCTAAGAATGCTTCAGAGTTCAAGTTACTTTCAGCTAGTAAGAATTAACTTATGGCCTGGGCACAGGGCTGCTGCCTGTAATATGGGCTTACAGAGGTGGAGGGGAGGGTGTCCTGAGCTTGAGGCCAGCCAGCCTGGGCTGCATAGCAGACCCTGTCTCAAGAAACAAAGTATCACTGGGACTTTTTTTGCTACATCGGAAAACACCTATTTTTAGTGTTCTGATGGTGGTGTTTTTTTGGTGTGTGCCGATGGGGAAGGAGGGTGAGGGAGTGTTCATTTTGTTTTGTTTTCCTTCTTTCCTTCAGTGGTCTAGACTGCTCTGAAGTTTGCTATGTAGTCCAAAGTGACCTTGAACTCATGAATCCCCTCCCTTAGTTTCTTGTGTGCTGGGATTATAGGCATGTAACACCACACCTAGTGCGTGCATATGCGTTGAATATTCCATATTATTGACACACTATGAGGTTATCATGTATTAGTTACTTTTTATCTGAATTAACATAGGTTTTTTTTTGTTTGTTTATTTTGTACTAAAAGCGAACCCAGAGTCTTTTGTAAAGATTAGACATGTGCTTTGATATTGACTGAGCTATTTTTTTCTTAAACTAGGCTTATTTATTAGACTATTTTTTATAGCACTAGAGATTAAACCTAGGACCTTGTACATAGGAAATTGCTCTATACTGAGCCCTAGCCCAGTTAAACGTAGAGAGGTAGATTTTATGTGTCAGTTGGAGCCTAGTATACATCATGTGTTCTTGTTTTGTTTACTCTTACAGTGATTTTCAAAGGTATGCCTGTCTTTTGCCCCTTTCAGTTGTAGGGATAACTTTCTAGGGACGTGCTTGTCTGTTAACATTTAAAGTTGGGAGTGGTCAGTGCCTGACAGTCACTGACTGGTCCTTTACAGCAACAGACCCATCCCACACCCTGGCTGGGCCTCTGCGGGCAAATGGCTGAAGAAGCTTAATCAGCTTCTGAGTCTTCCCTGCGCGGCACAGTTGCCAGTAACAGTGGGCAGCCCCTCCGAAGGCCCCAACACTTGGGAGGCTGATGCAGGAGGATCATGATTTGGAGCTACCTGAGCCACACAGTGAGATGTAGAAGGGAGGTGGGGGGGGGGTCATTGCTTAATTGCCTTCCCTTACAACTCTAAATTACTCATACGGAAAAGTCATGCACATGATGATCTGTGACAAGCGACCAAAATTAAAAGCACTTCAGCTTTTGTTTTTCTCTGGAGACAAGATCTCACTGTGTAGCCCTGTTCACTGTGTGGACCAGGCTGGCCTCAAACTCAGAGATCTGCCTGCTCCTTCCTCCCAAGTGCTGGGACTAAAGGCGGGTGCCACCCCACCTGGCAGCTCTGTCTCTTCAAGCAACTTATGGGTGCAGACGTGTGTCACCTGTGCGTTATTTATGACATTCAGTTTCAGTGTGTACTTCCATTGAGCCAGAAAGACCTTCACTGTCAAGGGCAGCTTTTTCTTAAAAAAAAAAAAAAATTAAATGATTTTAAGTGACTTCTTGGGTTTTAACAGTTTTCTGTAACAAGGTATATTCTATTTTACAAGCAAAATTCACTGAAGTTACAAGTGACACCTCTATAAGGAAGTGGACAGATTCTGTCTCATCCTCAAGGGAGTTCTCATTCCTCAGCCTCACTGCATCCAACTGGTCACATTTTAAATTGTTCTGTAATGCTTTTGCAAATGATTTTCAGACATGGTTGTGTTGTGTTAAAGGCTTTTTGTTGGTGCTGTGGTGATTCCTACTAAATAGCAACTTTAGAGCCTCTGTCATACAAGCTCAGTTCCAACACCTAGGTGGAGGCAGGGCCATTGGGAGCTCAGGTACAAAGGGATGCCTTGCCTCAAAGACCTGTCCCCTCACAAAGATGATTATGTTAGCTGAGTGCAGCAGACAAGACTGTAATTCCAGCTTTGGGGAGGATGAGGCAGAATGATTGACCCAGGATCAAGGCAAACCTGCATAGCAGCAAGAACCCGTAGTTTTCATGAAACTTACTCTTTATAATAAGCTAGAGCCATGTGTGCATTCTGACTTTAGGAAGATATGCTTGCAGTAGCTCACGAGTATACTGTAGGTTTTAAAACCAGGTGTCCTTTTCAACATTCGGTATCAGAATTTTAAAAATCATTGCAGTTTTTCTAACAAGAAATGTGAGCGTGATCATGTAGGAGTCTTTCGATGCTTCGCAGCTCATGGTGGGCGGCTGCAGTCCAGGGATGAGCCTAGCAAACGGCTTTGCAGTCCTCGTTTGTGAGTGCCTGGTCTCGGCATGCGCTTGCTAGTGTGCACAGCTGTGATTGATGGTTTTGTGCTTTAGGAGCAGTGTTTGGTTACAGCTTGTGAGAGACTGTTCTGTCTGTGACTCCCATGTGCTTACTTGTTTCTAGACTGTTCTCTTAGGCTGTACGGGTCTTCCTGCAGCAGACTCGGCTTCAGAGACTCAGATGTGAACATTGACGTTCAGTTCCCAGCTATCGTAAGTACAAAATGATGTGGTGGACTTTGCAGTCACAGAGAATTCTTCTATTTGTTTAGCTTTTAAGAAAAGTATATTTACATGCTTGTATGAATTCATGTGCCCTTCTTACTCTGTGTGTGTGTGTATGTGTGTGTGTGTGAGAGAGAGAGAGAGAGAGAGAGAGAGAGAGAGAGAGAGAGAGAGAGAGTGTGTGTGTGTGTGTGTGTGTGTGTGTAGATATGCCCATGGGGGCCAGAGAGGGCATCAGATCTAGAGCTTGTGAGCCACATAATGTGGGTGCTGGGATCTGAACTCTGGTCTTCCAGAAGAACAAGTGCTCTTAACTCCTGAACCTGTCTTCATTTGAGCTTATTTATAACATTGCTGAATACATGGGCCAATTGTGTGTTTTTTCAGTTGGCGGGGCAAACATTCTTGGTCTTAGAATATCAAGCCAGTTGGTGACTTGGCTCCTTATCAGAAACACACAGATCTTGGTGTCCTTATCGTTTCTGTTCCTCCCAAAATATACACAGCAGCCACTTTCTTAAAGGAGTAATGGGGAGTCTCAGGGGCACGAGGGGCCTGGCTTTTAGACGTGAGAATTCTCAGGGTTTGGTTGCTGATCACATGGATTGTGAGGAAGTCAGGCCCTAATCTGTTGGTGGCCGTGCTCCTTTCTGAGACTTCAGCTTTGTCTAGTGGCAGCCAGCTTGTTCAGGAGCCTGCTTGGGACTTGTGACTGTCTGATGGCGAAAAGCAGAAATGCTTTTAAATGTGACCTGGATGTGACTAGATTCTGAGACTTAACATCCTCCCTGAAGATTTGCATTTTTATGTCTTTTGTCTTCAGCTTCAAAATTTTATTTTTTTACTTTACAGATTTTCATGCTTATTTTGGTACAGATCTTTCTTGCTTACATGTAAAGCTGGTTTTCTAGATGTATGGATCTTGTGAGGGTGTGTATATCTCCATGAATTCAGAAAGTTTAAATTCTTTTTTTTTCTTTTTCTTTTTTTGGTTTTGGTTTTTTGAGACAGGGTTTCTCTGTGTAGCTTTGGAGGCTGTCCTGGAACTCACTCTGTGGACCAGGCTGGCCTGGAACTCACAGAGATTCGCCTGCCTCTGCCTCCCAGGTGCTGGGATTAAAGGTGTGCACCACCAACAACACCCGGCTCAGAAAATTTAAGTTCTCTTCATAAAACCAACCTTCCTATCACAGGAAGGCAGATAGATGTTCAAATAATGTACATTTGTAAGGATTTATGATCTGGAAACCTAATTAACTCCCCTCTTATATGTTATTAATAATAATAAAACATAATAATAGTGATGGACCAGAGAGATGGCTTAGTGGGTAAAGGTATTTGGCTCCAAGCCTGAGGACTTGAGCTCAGTCTCGTGCCGTGAACTGGCCATATGTATGCCCCACACATGTGCCCAATGAATAAATACATCATATGTATGCCCCACATACATGTACAATGATTATATCATATGTATACGCCCACACATACATGATGAATAAATCATGTGTACGCCCCACACATGTGCACAATGAATACATGTAATTTAAAAAATAATTGGACTTTTTAAAACCCCTAATCTCATGATTACACACCTGTAATCCCAATACTGGAGAGCTGGAGGCAGGAAGATCAAGACTTCAAGGCTAGCCTCAGACAAAGCAAGCTGGAGGTAAGCATAAAGTGAGGAACCACACACACACAAACACCCCGACACACACACACACCAGCCACACAAGCCTACATTTTGGTGAAATATGATTCCCAAAGACATGGATAAATCAGAACTTTACCCACTCTGGTTCTCACTGGCTTTTTTACAGTTGGCCTATGCTTAGTTTAGTTGCTGGTTAAAAATATAAATTTTGAGACCAGGCCTGGTGGCACATGCCTGTGATCTGAGAGGCAGGTGGGTCTCTGTGAGTTTGAGGCCAGCCCGGTCTACATAATGAAACGTTCCAGATTAGCTGGGATTACTTAGTAAGACCCTGTCTTTGAAATAGCAACCAGACTCTGGGGTTGGATTCCTTAATGGTCTTGCTCATAGCCTCTCATTCTTGCTGTGCTTGGTTCTATAGCTACCTGGTTCGGCGACCCATAAATTTATTACTGCTTTTTAAAAATCTTAGTGTGTGTGTGTGTCTGTCTGTCTGTCTGTCTTCATGTGGGTATATGCATGTGAGTGTAGGTGTGCATGTGAGTATTGGATTCCCCCAGGAACTTAAGTTACAAGTGGTTGTAAGCTGTCCAATGTGGGTGCTAGGAACTGAACTCAGGTCCCCTGGAAGAAAAGTATGTACTTGTAACTGCTGAGCCATCTCCAGTCCCAATCTTAATATTTTTTTTAATTTCAAATTCTGGTTAGTGATTTATCAGAATAAATTCATAGTAATTTTGATCTGGTACCATTAATGTAGTAAATTTTTACTAAACCCCTGTTATATACTAGTTTGTAAAGGACAGATAGGCCTGACTCTCTGATGGCACTTGTAGCTAGTCAGGAGGTAAACTAGTTCCTCAGTTACTAATGATAGTGACAGCTATGCAGAGAAGCAAGGCTGAGTGACAAGCTCTGGGAAGACTTAGCTTCCTCAAAGAGGGCGCATTTCCACAGGACTCCAATTAAGATATAGACAATTGGGTCACTTGTTCAAGATCTTGAAGGCTATGTAGTAAGACTTTGATTTTGACCTAACAATAATAGGTATCACGAATTTTAAGGACCTTTGGTAGGGGGCGGGGTGTGGCTCACACCTGTAATGCCAGCATTTGAGAGGCAGTGGTAGGATTATTGTGAGTTTGAGACCAGCCTGAGCTATAGAACAAGACCCTGTCTCAAAAAAAGAAAAAAAAAAAAAGGCTAGATTGATGGCTCAACAGTTCAGTATTCATGCCGCTTTTACAGAGGACCTGAGTTTGACTTCCAGCTCTCACATCAGAGTGGTTTACAGCCGCCTATCCCTCCTATTCTGAGGATTTGACACCCTCTTCCAGTCTCTTCAGGGACACACACACACAAATAAATAAATCTGTAAATAAAACACCTCAAACCAAAAACATAAGAAACAGACTGAAGGATCCATTGGAGACTTTTAAAGGGTTTTGGTCCATTGAAGAACAAAGATTGGAGTAAGGGATACTAATGATAGAGCTAACAGCTGTGTTGCAGCAGTGTTTCAGAGCGAGAGGAACTTTGTTGCAGTGGAGCGCCTTCCCATCTTCCATTGAGGGACTACTACCTCAAGAATGAGGTTGTATGCAGTTAGCAATTTCTTTACCCACACACAGGCCTCCTTATGGGCTCTTCGCTGGCCTTATACACAGGCTAATGCTGTTTCCTTCATCTGTAGCAATGTGCATTTCTTATTTGGAAAGAAATTTGGGGAACTTCAGACTGTATTTTACCAGAAAAACAAAAGTGTTTAGGGATTATTTCATGTATTCATTCATTTATTTCCTAGATGTCTCAGCCAGATGTCCTCTTACTTGTTCAAGAATGTTTAAAGAACAGTGGTAAGGCCAAATTCTTCCACATTTTGCTTCTGATTTTGTCTTCTGTCTATAAATTTGAATATATCTTGCTACCAAACTACAAGTAGGAAGTTTTCTTTTAAAAATTACTTATATGGGTAAAATCCAAAGCAAAAATAAATGTAAATGCCCTTGAATAATTAACTAGAGTCCAGCTAGCACTGTGCAGGAACACCAGTCAGGCAGCTGTTAGTTTGACAGCGTTCAGAGTTAATGAGCCCTAGACTGTGAGCGAAAAATGCAAAATATGTGAGTTACTCTTGGGAGTAAGCTCATGGTGATTTGCTTTATTGTGTGGTTTAAATCAACATTACAAGCAGTAAATAGGTGTGGCCCCACCCTGATTAATGAACTCAAAGACAGTTGTTCCCAAATGGGCTCATCAGTTGTCTTGTCCAATACAGCGTCCCCCTTGGGGGGCTTATGGCTTTTTCTCAGGGGCTAGGCCTTATCAAATGGGTTAGGCATTCTTTTTTTTTTTTTTTTTTTTTTTTTTTGGTTTTATGAGACAGGGTTTCTCTGTATTGTTTTGGAGGCTGTCGGTCCAGCCCAGCCTCGAACTCACAGAGATCCACCTGCCTCTGCCTCCTGAGTGCTGGGATTAAAGGCGTGCGCCACCACCGCCCGGCTTCATTCGTATTCTTTTGTTATAAGAAACATTCAAACATCTCTTCTTGTCTCGGCCAGGACATATTTTGGCACTGTCGCTGAGTAGCTTTTGCGTTGCTTTGTCTTTATTCTCCTGTGCACATTTCTAATTACTTGGTCCACAGAGCATTTAAATGCTGCCTCAGCACTGCAGTCTGTCTCATCCGCCACTAGATTTGAAAGGGTAGGGCTTGGACTGTGATGATTTGATTCTTGAGCACAGTGTTCTCTCTTCCTATGCGCCCTGAGGGGTGTTTGTGGTAGTGGCCTCTCAACCCACACCTGCGGTTAGGTTTTCCCAGTTCTGCTTCCACAGAGGTTTTAATTAACCCATTTGGTTGTTTTTCCTCTTTCCTCAGATGCCTTCACTGACGTTGATGCCGACTTCCACGCCCGAGTGCCCGTGGTGGTGTGCAGAGATAAGCAAAGGTCTCTGTGTCTTTGAGCTGTTATTTTTATATGATTTATTTGGGTTTCTGTGAGATAAGATCTAACTATAACCCAGGATGGCCTGGGATCACAGGGGTGTACCACCATGCCCAGTTTATCAGATTACCAAAGTCACAAATATTTTGTTAAATCTCAGGTTTAATTTATAGAATTGTAAGTTTCTAATCTGACTATTATTTGTACTTCTTGCTGGAATGTTTCCCGTACTTTCATTGTAAGAAGAGAAGGAAAATTAAGTGCTGGAAGGATGTTAACAGATTTCATCTGAACTGGCCTGTTGCTTCCTCTCAGCGCCTTCTTTTCCACTGTTCTCAGTGGCCTTCGTGGCATCGGGGACAGTGGTCAGGGTGACCTCATGTGTCAGCTCTTTTCCCTTGGAAAGCACTGTCCCAACCACCCATCAGGAGCTTTGTACATTGTGATGGCTCTCCGTGAAGCCAATGCCTTTGACTCTCAGGAGAAAACTCTTGGACCATTAGGATGACCAGAGCAGACCTTTGATAATCCTTTTCTGTTCTTGTGCTCTTTCCAAAATTTCTAATACCCAAAAACAGCTGCCATCTTTTTTTTTTTTTTAATTCAGTTTCGGGGCTGGAGAGATGCTCAGAGGTGAAGAGCACTGGCTGCTCCCAAAGAGGAGCTGGGTTTGGTCCCCAGCTTGGTGTCTCACAGCCACCTGGGACTCTAGTTGCAGGGATCAGACGCCCTCTTCTGACCTTCTAGGGGGCCATGCATGTACGCGGTACACAACATACTTACATTTAGACACAACAGGCGCACACAAGGCAAACCAATCAGCACCTTAGTGAGCACTCCTGAGTGTAAGCTCTCTTTAAGTTTTACTGTTGGTGTAAACGTGCTGCCTAACACAGCTTTTCTCCTTCCCTCCCACCCACACCCTCCCCCACTAGTGGTCTTCTTTGTAGAGTGAGTGCGGGAAATGAAAACGCTTGTCTGACCACGAAGCACTTAGCAGCTCTTGGAGAACTAGAGCCGAGGCTGGTTCCTCTGGTGATGGCATTTAGACACTGGGCAAAGGTACGGTTGGGGGCGTTGAGAATGGGTTTTTGTCTTGTTTTGTTTTGTTGTTTGTTTGGGTTTTTGGGTTTTTTTGTTTTTGTTTTGTTTTGGCAGCCATGAATGCCACCATGCCTTAACTTGAGATATGTATCTGTAGGTGTCGAGAGTAGATGTCAGAATATTGGACTAGACACTATAAAATACACAGGTTTGTTTGCAGTTAGCAAGTCCTTTAGAGTTTGTATGTCAGTGTGACATTATTCCTCAGAAGATAAAATGAGTTACAATACTACTAAAAATCAGATTTGGGACCCAAGAAGTTCTATCTTAACTCCTTTGTGAAGACTTTTCTGAAGTGGGAGTGTGTATGATGACACTTCTTACACCATTCCCTGTAACTTATTCAGAGACTTTAGAAACAGAAAAAGTGCTGTAGCTGTCTTACAGTTCCCTGGTGTTCTAGATAAGCAGTCCCAAATGAAGATCACATCATGACAAATAAGATTGACAACTGGTCAGGTGTTGGCACATGTTGATAGTCCCAGCACTAAGGAGGTGGATATGAGAAACTCTCAAGTTCCGGGGTAACCTGAACTACGACGTGCCAAGATCCTGTCTCAACAAAAACAACTACAGGAGTAAAACATCCAGTTCCATAAGCAAAGCTTTACGATTCAGGTATAGCTATGCTAGAAGGTTCCACTTCTTGAGTCCGAGATAAACAGGATTCCCCGTTTTTAACTTGGTGAATGGGAAAAACCTTCCAGTGTAGCTCAGTGACAGTGAGTTTTCCAGTACAAGTGAGGCTGTGGATTTAGTATCCAGCCACTCCCAACTAATGTTATTGATGTGGGTTTGTTTGTTTTTTTGTAGCTTTGCAGTATCGATCGCCCTGAGGAAGGAGGCCTGCCACCATATGTGTTTGCCCTGATGGCTGTTTTCTTTCTTCAGCAAAGGGAAGAGCCCCTCTTGCCAGTTTACCTAGGATCATGGGTATGACACCTTTTGGTTGCTAGTGGTTTAATAAATTCCTTATGAAAAAAAATCTAAACACTTAGCCAGTCTACTTATCAGTGCTGAAATATTAGTAGTGGATGACAATATGTTATTCCGTACCCTGTGTAGTGATGACACTATTTTTAAAGAGTAACCTCATCTTAGTTTGGGAAAAACTCTGAGCTGAGTTTGAATTTTTCATTGAGCTTAACTTTTGGACTTGATACTTGATTTTATGTAGCATCTCTGTGCTGTTTGTAAACCATTAAGACTTTTGTCTTATTTTTATCATTTGCTGATGTTTTTGAGGCTGAGTTGCGCTGCTGCCCATGTTACCGCAAACGTGAGCTCAGCTTATCCCCGTGTCTCAGCTGTCTGAGTATGTGGGACCATAGCACTGTGTGTCTCTGCTTCCTCCGTAGCCCTCACACCCAAGAAAACAAGCTGGTGTTTGCCTCAGCTGTGAGCTGCAGAGTGACACTTTATGTCACCTTGTGACAGTTGCCCTTAGCGGTGGGACACTGGGGGTGCAGGTCTGTAGTCCAGCTGTGCAGGGAGCTGAGGCTGGAGGACCCCAAGGTCTAAGCTTTCCTGGGCTAAAGAGAGTTCAAACTCAGTTCCCTTAGGCAATTTAGCCAGAAATAGCTTGAAAAAATGAAAAGGCGAGCTGAGGGTGTGGTTGAAATGTGTGCCTTGGCCAGAGGAGTCCCTGTATTCATACTCTGACACTGGGAGCTGAGGCGTATAGACCTTCTCGAGGCTAGGTGTGCTGTCCATGCTGTAAACCTAGCACTCTGCAGGCTGAGGCAAGAGGATGGTGACTTCTAGGATAGCCTGTGCTATGTAGCAATGCCCCCTCCCTTGAAAAGGGGAGGAGGGACTCTAAGCAGTTATTTGATTATTTGATGAAGCGGTTGCAGTTTGCAACAATTAACTACCTGGAGCTGGGCGTTGGTGGCGCATGCCTTTAATCCCAGCACTCAGGAGGCAGAAGCAGGTGAATCTCTGTGATTTCGAGGCCAGCCTGGTCTACAGAGCAAGTTCCAAGACAGCCTCCAAAACAACAAAATCCCCCCCCCCCAATTAACTACCTGATAAAGCAAACAAAACTGTCAACATTTGTTTGGTTACAGCATAAAGAATCCAGATTTTTCACAATATAGAATAGTGTTTATAGTGTCTAGGATGTAATAAAAATTGCTCAGTGTACAAGAGCCAAAAAGCCTAGACAAGATCCTGTGTATTAGTTGGCTTTTGGTTGCTGCAGCGGGACATGTGAGAGATCAACTTACATGCATTTGTGCCAGTGGCTTGATTTTATGTTGTCTTGGCTGTGTTGCTTTGGTCTTTGGTCGCCCTATGTACATCATTGCAGTAGGGACACTTAGCATAAAAGACTATTCACCTCAGAGTGGCCACAGGCAAAGAGAGAGAGGTGGGGGCATGTTCTAGAGGTACTCTTATTAGTAAAGTAAATGAGAGGACCCAAGTCAGATCCCTAAAACACTTGTAAAAAGCCAGCTATTGTGTTGTGTATCTGTAAGTCCAGTGCTGGAGAAACCAACACAGGTGGGTCCCTGAAGCAGTCTCGACAGCCAGCCGAGTCTGATTTGGTGGGTGTCAGACCAAATGGAGACCCTGTCTCCAAAATCAGGGCAGACACCTCCTGAGGAACACATTGAAGGTGGTCCTGTGGCTTCCACACGTATGCACAGGTGTGCCTCCTGCACCATCCCAAGCACACACAAGTGAGAGATGCATGAGGTCCCAGAGTCTCCTGTAAGGGTGTGTCCCAGCAGCCTAACTTCTTCCCAGGAGGCTGTACTTTCCCAACCTTCTCCCACCTCCCAAAAGCACCATAGACTCCCAGCATGGCCTTCAGTGTGTATATTTCCAGCACGGCCTTCAGTGTAGACTTCCAGCACGGCCTTCAGTGCGTGGGTGTCTGGGGGACATTTAAGTTCCAGACCACATCATTGACTCCAAATCTGCCCAGAGGTGACAGCTGCCAAAGCCTTGAGCCCAGCTTTGATAACTTTGCATCTGGAGACAGAAAGAATGCACTTAGAATAAATGAAAGACAGAGACACAGAAAGTGCAAAGAGAGTGACGTGGCTGTTAACCCTGAACCAGTGTCTGTAGCAAGCTTTCTTGAACTTCCAGCCCCCCAAATCATGACATGGAGTCTTAGTATCAATTATGAGTGCTCGTCCTTATTTTGTGATTGTCCCACTAGCTCTTATAACTCAATTTCACTATTTCTCTTCTGTGTTTTTTGGTTTTTCGAGACAGGGTTTCTCTATTATTTTGGAGGCTGTCCTGGAACTCGCTCAGTAGACCAGGCTGGCCTCGAACTCACAGAGATCCACCTGCCTCTGCCTCCCGAGTGCTGGGATTAAAGGCGTGCGCCACCAACGCCCGGCTCTTTATCTGTGTTTTACCTCGAGGCTTTTTACCTTTTTTTCATTCTGTATGTCCTACTTTCATGGCTGGTGCCCTGGGCATCTTCCTTCTCCTACTTATTCTTTCTGCCCATCAGCCCTGCATGTCCCTCTACTGCCTAACTATTGGCCATTTAGCTTTTTATTGGACCAGTCAGGAGCCTTAGGCAGGCCAGGTAAAACAGCATCACATCTTTACATAATTAAACAAATGCAGCACAAGCAGATGTAACACACCTTTACATGGTTAAATAAATACTCTATTCTACAACGAGCGACAGCAGTAGTGATCTGAAATGTGAGTGAGCTGTTAGACGACCCTGTTAGAAATGCCAACCTAGACGGCATACATCTGTAGTCCCCGCAGTCAGGACGCTAAAGCAAGAAGGCTGAGGGGCCTGGAGAGAGGGCTTAGTCCTTAAATCACTGGTTGCTCCTCCGGAGGACCCAGGTTTGATTCTTAGCATCCACATGGTGGCTCACAACCATCTGTCACTCCAGTCCTAGGAGATTCCACACTTCTTCTGGACTCTGTGGGTACCAGGCACATGTCATACACAGACATATTGTAGGTAAAATATCCATACACATAAAATAGACAAATGGTTTTTAAAATGTTGAGTGATTGGAAGTTGCTTGAGCTAGTAAGACTGTCAATACTGCTTATTTTGTTGTTTGCACCCTGTCTTCAGATATCAGCCTGTTCCATGAGGGCCAAGGGTCATGAAATAGCTTCACTACAAAAGAAAGAAGAAGCAGATAAACTGTATACTTTAAAAAATAATTTTATTTTATTATGCTTATGGGTGTGTATCTGTGCACATGAGTGCGTGTGTGCACAGAGGCCAACGGTATCAGAGCCCCTTGGAACTAGAGTTGCAGGTGGGTGTGAGCACCTGACATCGGTGCTGGGAATCAAACTACGGGGCCATCTCATTTCTCCAGCCTCAGATGTACATGGTTTATAATACTAAACGTAGCACTTTCAGCCAAAGGAAAAATAACCCAGTAAGCCTTTCCTCCTCCTCCTCTTCCAATGTCATCTCACCATGTTGAGGCCTTGACTGACCTGGAGCTTGCTCTGTAAACTAGATTGACCTCAAACTCACAGAGATCCACCAGCCTCTCTCTCCTGGTTGCTGGGATTCAAGGTATGGCAGCTTTTTATTTTGCTAGAGAAGTTGAATTTGACAGTAGACATTTATGGAAAGTATCTACAGCTAACTCCCATACTTCCTTCTTCTGAAACATTAAAAATGCTTGTATTTGAAGGTTCTGGGAGAACCTGTATGTAGCTGGCGGATACGGTATTGATGCTTGTAGCTGCCTCAGCACTCAGCATGGAACTGCCCTGGTATGCCATGGGCTACAGGCGCCTGGCCAGGCTCTGCTTTCCCTTCTCATAAGAAACTTTCTCAGCCACCACTGATACCAACATGTCCTAGTATGAATTTGTCCTTTAGACTCCCTCTTACACCTTAAAAAAAATTCAAATGCTGATGAAAATTTTGGGAAGCTACCCTCAATGAAATAATGACCACAAAGAGTGGCTGTATTGTGTCTGGTCCCCTCCCCAAGCAGCCGACCTGATTTTTTGCTATCATACCATGACATGCTTTTCTATTGCTGTGATAAAATGCCATATCTTAGTTTGGATTTCTGTTTCTATAAAGTTCCACGACCAAAAGGAACTTGAAGAGAAAAGGGTTGACTTTACCTGAGGGAAAACAGGGTAGGAACAGGAGCACAGGCCACAGAGGAGGATTACCTTTCCAGGGATGGCACAGCAAGTTTAAAAATTAATAAACTTTTTAAATTCTGAAACTCTTGCTGTTCAAAAACTGTTAAGGACAGGATAGACTCTGTGGTAGAGTATAACTGGAGTTTTTCATTGGTCTAAATAATAAAAACCCAGAGTCAGATATAGAGGAAAATGCTAAGAAATCAGAGAGAAGGAGCAAGCCACAGCACACCTTACCTCCGTAGTGTCTCAGTTTACAAGAGAGTGAGTTCCTTTTCTCCCTGCTTATATCCTATTTCTGCCCAGCTATCTCACTTCCTGCCTGTCTGTACAGACCTCCAAACCTCTATGGTTAGCTAGTGGCAAGCTCCTTTCTCTGACCTTCAGACAGGCTTTATTTGTACAAGCAAGATATCACCTCAGTAGAGCCCTTTCCTGGTTCTACAAAAAAGAAGAAAATGTAGCACGAATAATGAAAACCCAGAGACAGATATTGGGGTTCAAGAAGAAGATCAGAGAAGCAAGGCAACCAGCCGCCAGAGAGCTCTCACCGCTACCAATGCTCAGACCAAAGGGATGATCCCTGAACCTCAGACTGCATCTCCAGACTGCACTGCTGCTCAGATTCACTGATACGGCACTGAGCTCCTTATGTTCTCTCTCATGCTGGGATTAAAGGCATGAGCTCTGTTTCTCTTTTAGACTGATTCAGCCCTGGGTGGCCTTGAACTCACAGAGATGCAGCTGCCTCTGTCTCCTGAGTCCTGGCATTAAAGGTGTACGCTGCCACCAATGCCTGACTTGGCCTCTATGGCTGTGGATACTTTTGCATTCTGATCTCTCTGCAAGCTTTATTAGATCCTAAAGAATAATGTATCACCACAGGAAAAATTATGATGAAGACCAGAAATACAGCACTGACTTCAAGAACACTGATTCCATGCATCTAACAAAGAGGCAGTGTCACTCCCTGTGTTCCGTGGTGTCTTTGGGACAGTTGTTACAGACCGCTGTCCTCTCCAGCTATTCTGGGTGCCGTGTTAGAACAACAAACCAAACAAAATGCATGTCATAAACATGTTTACCAGTCAGGGTGAGGCCTTTCTCATGCGCTAGCACATGCGTGTCAGGTTGGATGTTTGAGAAAAGGGGAAGCATGTAGAGAAAGGGAGCGAGTCTGTGGCGTTAGAAAGGTTGGGAAAAGACTGACGTCTTAGGTGAAAAGGAAAGCGGACAGGCAGGAGAGCCACGCACGGGCTCTTACACTTCAGTAGGATTGCCGCCAGCTGGGCCATTGATGAACAACCTGTTTGCGTAGATGTACATTCGGTAACATGCTCCACAGTTTGTTAACTTGTTGAATTACATGTGATGGTTGTGTGGTCAGCTTGACAGGATCTAGAGTCACCTGGAGGAAAGCAAGCTTCTAGGTGTCCTTATGGGAGTTGTCTTCACCAGGCTGATTGGGTAGAGCAGAAAGCCACCTTCACTTCTCTGCCAGGACAGACCATGAGCTCGAATTAACATGTTGTCCCTCATGTTGTTTCTTTCAGCGACAGGGAAAGTAGCCCAGACACCATGACTGATGAGCCCCACGGTGTAGGGAGAGAAATGTCCAGCGTTTCATAGTGCCTTTCAGAGCTTAGCGCCCCTAACCTTTTCTTCTGCGGTACCCTGGCATTTTCTTTAATAATGTAAAAAAAAAAAAATACACAGATTCTTTGGGACTTAGTAAGAATTCATGCTATCTAATATTTTATGGAGTGGTGATTCTGGGAATTAAACTAAGGGTCTCAAACATGCTACCATCACAAATGCTCCACCACAGAGCTGCATTGTTAGCAGCCTCCTAACTTCTGTCATGCATGCATGTGTGTGTGTGCATTTGTGCGTGGTTGTGTTTGCATGTGTGTGTATGTGCGTGGTTGTGTTTGTGTGTGTATGCAGGTGCCCACAGAGCAAAAGGCATCAGATCCCCTTGGACTCCCGAGTTACAGGTGTTTGTTAACAATCACGTGGGTGCTGGGAATCAAGCCTGTGTCCTCTGGAAGGGAAGGAAGCTAGTGCTCTTAGACACCGAGCCATCTCTCCAGCCCTGCTGTACTTTGAGACAATCTTGACAAGTTGGTCAAACTCTCCTTGAACTCCTTCTGCTTCCTCCTGAGAAGCTTGGATTCCGGGGTATGCACCACCATCCCCGGAAAGCTGTTCTGAAGTGAGGAGGATCTAGATGATAGTTGCCTATTTTCACAGTGCTGATAGGAGCAAGTCCTGGTATCCTTTGAGAAGTTTTAAACTGTGTCACGAGCAGATAAATTACGGCACCACTACTCCCGTAGCGGGCTCCACGTCTCAGGATGCTGAGGCTTAGAGAGATGCCTCAGACACTCAAGAGCACTTGTCCATCCTACTCTAGGACCAACAACCTCAGGTGCTTCTCAGGCTGTTTTGTTTTCTCATAGGGTTTTATTCTGGGTTGTTTGTCTGCTGTTTGCAGTCTTGTGACAGGTCTCAGACACACTCTAGAACTATGCCCCGTCCCAGGATACTGAAAACTTACTTTGCAAAGTCACCATGGCTTTTGCAATTCAAAAGCCTGCTCTTTACCCTGAGAAGATACTTAAATTACCAAATTTCAGAGGTAGTTGGTGAACTGTCTTGTAGTTTTTATTTCTGTGATTTTATTGCTGTGTGTGGCTGTGTGCACGTTTCAGTATGTGTGTGGAAGTCAGAGAACAGCTTTCGTCCCCTGCTTGCTTGCTTCCTTCCTTCCTTCCTTCCTTCCTTCCTTCCTTCCTTCCTTCCTTCCTTCCTCCCACCTAGGGATTGAACTCAGGTCATCAAGCCTTTACTCATTGAACCATCTTACCATCCATCCCCTAATCCATGTCAGCAGTGATCTACGGTGTGTGTTAAGTTTTTATTCTTGCGAACTAAAGTCTTAGTACCCTCTGCCACAGAGTTGTTCATACTGTATAGTAAGATGTGTCTGATTATTTTTTCTAGATTGAAGAATTCTCATTAAATAAATTAGGGAATTTCAGCCTCAAAGACATTGAGAAAGACTCTGTGATCTGGGAGTACACTGATGACACCACAGGGGGCGCCAGCGCTACCAAAGAGGAGGCACCCAAGGAGGCCGCAGCCAAGAAGGGGCAGGTATGTTCTCTCCCTCCTGGCCATCCTGCTGATTTCCCCTGTCTGAGCTGTGGTGTTGATTCCTCAGTCTGGTTCCCTGTCTTCATTGTCTTTGCTGCCCCTTTGGGTTACATTGGTTTGGGGTTTATAAACGGGGTCTTAACTTTGTTTCCCATGCTAACCCTGCAGCTTGCTATATATGTAGCCCAGGGTGGTCTGGAATCCATGGCAGTCTTCCAGCCTCAGCCCGTCAAAGTCGTGGGATTATGGACGTGAACTGCCATACATGGCTTTCTCTTGAGTGTCTTTGAGATGAAGTGTAGGTTAATTGTACAGAGCAGTGGATCTCATTGCACACAGCTTTTCTCTGCATGACTGCAATATGTTTATCTTGCTCATTCCTCTGTTACCCTTTCTTGGTCCACCTGTCCCCTGCCACTTTTCCTTATCCGTGTCCCTGATAGACCCCTTTTCACTGTCCTGCCTTATCTCACTCCTCCATTCTGCATATGAGACAGAATATGGGGTGCTCATATTTGTGAAACTGCTTTATTTTAATAACATTTTCGTGCCAACTACATAATTTCCTTTTTTAATGAATAACTAAAATTCCATTTATTGAGAGAGACCTATTTTTCACCCATTTATGGGTTCCTAGGCTGACTCCATAGCATGACTGACGTGAGCACTGTGTTGGTAAACGTGGGTATGCAGGCTTCTCTATAGCAAGCTGATTTTGGGGACAGGACTGGGTCATATGGTTGTCCCAGTTTATTTCTTAAGGAGCTCACGTACTTACGACTATTTCATTTCCTTGTCTATTCAGCCTCTTGGATAAAAAAATAATGAAAAAGGTTGAAAAATTGACATCACTAATCCATTTATTTATATGGCTTCTTCTATATGCAGAGACCTTTTAAAGATACTGAGTAGACTCTGATGTAAGATGACTGTACTAGTCATAAAATACTTCATGGCTCTAAGCCAAGTGTACACAAGCAAGTCGTGTTATCCTCCAGTCCATGGTGTATGCATGTCTCACGTGGAGCAGTGGTGAACTGTGGGCTCCTGTTTCCTAGAACCGGGGGGACAAAAGAGATGTCCCGACCCTGCTGTCCAGAGACCACACCATTCTGTTTTCTGTGTGGGTTTTGCTTGTGGGCCACAGCCTAGACTCTCGGCAGGGTTTGTGCATTTGAGTCCCAGCTCTGGCTTCTAGTTGTGTCCTAAGGTAGGCTACAATCTTCCTGTGCTCCAGCTTCTTCCCCACAAATAGTCTTGATGCCCTCTCCTGACATTCACCAACTCCTAGAGAGTTTAACTCAGTGCCATGCATGTGGTGAGCACTTGGTCAGCCCTAGCTGATATTCTTACTTTACTTGGAGAAGACAAGTTGAAGCTAGTGGTGTAGACACTGAAAGTCTTGTGACATCCCTTGCAGTAAGCTTTGAGGGCGTTAAGTGAGGGACTTAAAAGTCCTTGCTAAGCCTGCTGATGGCTGTGGGCACAGAGGTGACGTCAACAAGACTCTCAGGGTTTGTGTCCTCACCTACCATGTGTGGGATGGAGGCCATGCCCATTCCAGTCAGGAGTCTGAGCTCTGCCTGTGGTCCCACCAAGTGACTTTCATGATTGCCAGAATCCATGTGCCTGCGATTTACTCATTAATGAAGTATCATACCACTTATTTTGAAGTGTGATATAAGAAGTGTGATTGATTGTAGACAAATTTATATACTTTAGGTGGAAATATTTTATTCATTGTTTACTAGAGAAAACTGTGAAGAAAAAGTCAATGTTATGTGTCCATTTAAAGCTTTATTTTAAATTTATTATTTGGAGAGGTTAAGCAACCTCTAGAACATACTTAACTTCAGAGTGGTGGTGGTTCGCTTAACTTCTGCCGATTCTTCCTGCTAAGCAGTGTCACGACAAGTCGTGAAGGTGCTCAGACTTTCAGTTCCTTCTGGTAGCACGTGGGAGTTGAACTGAATCAGCTCTAAAGGGCATCTTCCAGGTGTGACGTTGTGTAGCAGTGATGTTTGCATTTCTTCAGGAGATAGTACCTGAGAGAGTGCAGAGAGCAGCCATACCTGCAGCTGCTTTCCCTTGCTTCTGATTTAACCCTCATCGCTGTCCTGTGTTATAGGTGTATCATCCCTACTCTGCAGATAATGATAGCGACCATTTTTTGAACACTGTCTGCCAGGCACTGTGCTAAGCACTTTACAGACACTATCTCACTCAGTCCTCCCAACAACCCTATGAGGTGGGTACTGTTATCCCCATTCTCCAGGTGAGGAATTCAAGTCTTAGACAGGTCATAGACCTTAACCGAGGTCATCACAGCTAGTACCTGGCAGAGTGTGCATTTTAAACTAGGCTCATCACACAGCCGGTTTTCCTGGCCATGATCCTGCCTGTGCTGCCGATCATAAGAGTGGAGAAACTAAGCTGCAGAGTAGCTGAGAGCCGTGAGCTGCAGAGTCACCATGGGCCGCTCCCGTCCCTTTCTGTCTTGAGTCCTGTACTCTTTCATTATGTCACGTATGTCGTTTGAACTTGTCAGACGTCTGTCATTGACACGCTAGTGTCAGCTTCTGATATGAAGCATTATTTGGCTTTAAGATTCGGTGCCACTTGGCAGATACAGTGTGTGGGGCAGTGCTCGTGAGCCTCTTCCTCCTCCCCGCCTCAGCAGTGCCCACGCCCGCACAGGCGCCTGCCAGCAGCAGCAGCAGCAGCAGCAGGAGCCCTTCCTGAGCCCAGCCTTCCACAGGGGCCTCTCCACCTACTGCTGAGACGCACAATTAGCTGTGCTGTCTGCTCTGTCTGCTCCCGTGGTGAAATTCCTTAACATGCTCAATCCCAGGGTTCACCTCTGACCAAATAGAGCCTACAATTAGATTATCTAGATGTCCAGCTCATGGTTTTCCAAAGTCTTCAGATTTCTCACTTAGGCTTGAGTGATCTCTTAACTTCTCAGACTGAGCTGGCATCTGAATTAACCTCTGTGCTCCTTATCATTCATAGGTGCCATTGACATTTAATGTAAAACACCAGCCTTCGGTGCCAGTTGGGCAGCTCTGGGTGGAATTGCTGCGCTTCTATGCCTTAGAGTTTAATCTGGCTGATTTAGTGATCAGTATTCGTGTCAAAGAATTGGTGTCCCGGGAATCAAAGGACTGGCCCAAAAAGCGCATCGCTATTGAAGGTAATACCGTTGGGTCACTTTTCACACAGTGTCCGTCTCACAGCCTGTTTTTATCACGTTTCTCTTTGCAGTTCTGCCAGAGGTAGGCCCGGTCAGAAGGTAAAATAAACACTAGACTCCTGCATGCAGGCCATTGGGTTGTAAGGGACCAAGGTACAGTGGTACAGTGTCTCCTGAGGTACAGTGTCTCCATGTCAAGTGACTGGTTAAAGGTACCCGAGTCCCTGCTTCATAAGGTGCTTGGAACCCTAGACGCTTTCTCGGTTTCCCTGTGACCCATAGGTTCTTATGCCTTTCTTTTTACTGCCCTCACTTTTTTGTTTTGACATTCTACCCTCAGGAATTCCTGTTGAGGTTTAGTTTTACAAAGATGAATGAAATATTTTTCTTGTGAAAAATGCTGTTCTTAAGTAAGGTTGGTTGACTCCAGTACAGGGAACAGAGAGTTTATTTTTAAAGCAGAGAGCAGTAACTACCTCATGACAACACGTTGTAGTGAAAGTCAGCTATCAGACGGTGATGGGCTATTGTGTCACCGAATGGGTGATCTCTCAGCTTTGCAGAGTCAGGAGGTTGAAACCTTCTAGAAATCTTAGCTGTCCTCCTTTAACTGAAGAATAACAGCAAAACTCCTACATGGAAATCTCAGTTTTGCTTGATTTTTTTTTTCAAGCTTTATGTTGCATAAGATTTTTTTTTCTTTTTGCATAAATTCTATGTGCAGTCTTGGGGAATCTCACATTTTAAACCCTCCCCTGCAGTTTCTCTGGCTCAGCTCTTCTGGCCAATGGCCTAACCTGCTGGAGTTCTGGGGGAGGAGGAAAGATTGAGAGAAGTGGTGTCTCCTCCTGGTGCCTCCCTCTCGCCCCTGAAACTCAGGCCAGCCACTTCAGTGATGGGGCCTCCCAGGGCGGAAGAGTGGAGGTAAGCTTGACACCTGCAAGGCTGACTGAGGAGGGTGCGGAGCACTCAGCCGCAAAGCCTGTTGGGAAGTGTTAAGTTCCCCAGGGCTCGAGAGACACACTGACGGTATCTTTGCTACGTCCAGTCACTGAGCAGCTAGGGAAGGGGGATCGACTCCTGTGGGTCCTCTCTGGAGAGCAGGGGACTCAGGAGCGCTGCTTTTGATCTTAAACTGCTGCCCTCACTCCCACCCGAACTGTTTTTAAAATGTATCGAAAGCATGGGAGATGCATGATCTATTCGACTGTTGTTTGTGACCTGCTTTACCTGTGAAAGTCTAGTTTTAAGCATGAGGAAATAGAAGTTATGAAGTGGTGGCTTTCTCTTTTTTTCCCTCTCTTTTTTTGTTACAGACCCCTATTCTGTTAAAAGAAACGTGGCAAGGACCCTGAATAACCAACCTGTGTTTGAGTACATACTTCATTGTTTGAGGACAACATACAAATATTTCGCTCTTCCACACAGAGTTACAAAACCCAACCTTGCAAAGCCTACTAGCCCCATTACCCGTGTTTCAGACCCATACAAAGAAGCAAGAAATTGTGGCCCAAAGCTCCAAGCAACAGATGCAGATACACTGGGGAAAGCAGCCATGGCTCGAGGTCCTGGTGTCCCCACCTCAGGTGACTGCAAGGCTCAACCACTTAAGAATGCCGCCGAGCAGTTGGGAAGCCCACCAGAGGAGATCGGAAGTGTGCACACCCAAATGCACCAGGACAGCTCTGGCTGTGTCCAGGCAGAGGTCATTTGTGAGGGTTGTGAGGGTGCCACAACACAGCATCAGCAAACAGGAAGTGACAAGGGGAAAGCCGGAAGGAAGGTGGGGCACCTTTTGAGCAGCAATGACCAAGGTTTAAGCAGCAGCCGCCAGCCAGAACTTGAGAACTGTGGCAGCCTTTGTGGTCTGCAGGCAGACAACACTCTGGAGTTAGTGGGGCTCCGGAACCCTGGAGCTAGGGAGTGTGACAGCCGTGCCCCTTTGGGTGACAAGGCCGATGTAGATGAAGAAGACACACTAGGCGCTGCGGAAATGAAAGAGCCTCGGAATCGCCGTTCCCCTCTAGTCCGGGGCCAGGCGTCAGCAGCCATGCACTTTGATGACGATGAGGAGGACGACGATGACGACGAGGAGGAGGAGGAGGAGGAAGAGGAGGAGGAGGAAGGGGAGGAGCCCAGGCTCAGCATTAACCACACAGAAGATGAGGAGGGGGTTGTTCGTGAACATCAGGAGGACAGCAGGCACACTGGGTCGGGTGAGGAGGATGCTGTCTCTGAAGAGGATGACTTGGCTGAGCCTGCGGGTGAAGATGTGAGAGAGTGTGGAGAGCACACGGGTGGGACTCTGCTCGAAGACCTCAACAGAATAAGTCTTAACGAAGAAAGCTTCCCTGAGGAAAGTTCACCCGGTGGCCAGTCCGACTTCTATGAGTTTAGAAAACTGACCTTCACCAAAGGCAAGGTAATGGTTGAGATGGTCTGAGATCTGGGGGCCTCTAGATCAGTCTGAGGGATATTGTTTCTGGCTTTCTTTCATTACATTTATCCATTCATCACCTGTGAGGGATAGGCGTGTATGCCATTTGCATGTATGTGGAAGTCTGAGCCAACTCGAGGGGGTCAGTTCTTTCCTCCCACTGTGTGGGTTCCAGGAATGGAACTCAGGGCGCCAGGCTTGGCAGCAAGTGCCGTTTGTCAGCCTGACTTCCGTTTCTGTGCACTAGAGTGGCGGCTTCCCATCTGTGGTGTAGCGCAGTCTGATGTGTAGCCGCCTGATCCATGTCCCTCCTGAGACTGGCAGGGACATGCACAAGCGCCCGGCGGTCGGCACCTGCGTCCCCCATGGCATGTCCCGCCTCTCAGGCCAGTAGGGTTTATGTGTAGTTAGTGTTTTTCTAAGACCCTTCATTTAGCAGAGATTCTCTTGTTGTGGTCCACCGTACCCCTGCAGTCTCCCACCGTAGTGTGCAGCTTGTGTAAGCGAGAAGGCCATCTAAAGAAGGACTGCCCCGAGGACTTCAAGAGGATCCAGCTGGAACCTTTGCCACCACTGACTCCCAAGTTCTCCAGTATCCTAGACCAAGTTTGCATCCAGTGCTACAGTAAGTCAGCCTTACAGTAGGTCCTTTGAGAACTGCGCACAGTGTGTCGTGGTCACACCCACCTGACGCTCCAACCCCACTGCTCCCGATCCACTCCCCACTCCTCACTGCTTCCATTCCTGCCCCTCGGACTCCAGTCTGTACTTCCCACAGACTCCTGGCCGTGGGCCACTGGCTGGAGCCACAGCCACTCTCCTTCTCCCAGAAGCCATCGCCTGTCACAGCCCCTCAGTTAGGCGTGAGGGCTCCCTGACCCTCCATGCTGGAATATGGAGTGCCTTGGTCTTGGGGAGGCAAGTGTGGCTGCTGAGAGCCCCTGAATGCAGCAGTCCTGTCATGTCCAGAAGACGAGGCTGTGGTCTGATGGCCAGTGGCCTCAGACTCTTTGACCCCTCTGTGATGGCGCCTGAGCCCTAGGGAAGGACTTTTCAGTGAACACTAATGACAGCAGCATGCAGGCTCTTTAAGGAGCCTTGATACCGAGAGAAGCATCAGTTTCTATTTCCAGAAGGAGCTGCTGCTGCTCAGTGACTAAAGCCGCTGCTGAACTTGCTCTCCTTTGCTTCCTGGATGACGGAATTATAGGCAGGACTGTCATGCCCAGCTTAATCCCTCCTTCCCTCTCTCTAACAGGATCTCACTGTGTTACTGAATCCTTGGATTCAAGTAGTGCTTCTCTGTCTTAGCCTCCCAGATATCCAGGATTGTCCAGCTACCATTGATATTTTTGTTTTGTTAGATGTTTTCAGATATTAAAAAAAAAAAGAAAACCGGGCTCCCAGTTAAAAACAAGACAGCCCACGGACAGTTCTGTGGGAATTCTAGAGGATTCTGTCAGCCCAGGTTTAGAGCCCCATCTCAAGAGCAAGTCTTAGGGATAGACTCACTGAGGCAGGGTCTCCCTGTGTGGCCCTCGCTGACTCGGCCCTCAAAGTGGTCCGTCCGCCCCCCCACCTCCCACTGCTGGCGTTACATCTGTGTCCCACAAGGTCAGCTTGACAGATGCTGTTTTCTGTTTTGGTTTTTTTTATTGCTAGCACTGTCTGCTGAGAAGGTATAAAATCTAGTTTTTGAAGCTTATAAGTTTTCTTTTTCTCAAAACTATTTTTTTCAGCTTTTCTAGCAGTATCAACTCTTTATATTTTAAAAACCACTCCCCTATTCATTGTATATGTTTTTTTTTTTAAACAGAAGATTTTTCTCCAACTCTTGTAGAAGATCAGGCTCGTGAACATATCCGGCAAAATCTAGAGAGTTTCATAAAACAGGACTTTCCAGGTAAGTAACCTTTTTATCTTTAGAAAAAGAAAGAGACCACGTGTGTTTCAGGCACATTAACTTTAGAGGCAATGGGAGACCCTTGTGGTGAGTAAGATCAGTGTTGAGGTGCTTTAAATATATATATCAGGATGAGCGTTGGTCCACCACATCTAGTTTACCAACAGAAAGGTGACAGTGTAAGATCACCCAGCACACATGAGGTGAATCCACTTGGAATTAGAGTAAGTCACACACGTTTTCAGGAACTTAGTGATTAAAAAAGTACATGCTGTTCTTGCTGACCAACTTCAGGGGCTCTGACACCTCTGGGCTCTGTGGGTATATGCAGTAACGTATGCAGACACACACAGAGGTAAAAATCAATCTTTTAAAGCACATTGCAAGCATTGCTCTTACAGTACTAAATGGTCCACGTTTTTCCTTGAAACATCCTTCATTTGGGCATACAGCAGTATCCACGTATCTTTCATGTCATACAGCATGTGTATCTCAGTAACCGAGGGGAGCGCTAAGAGCAGATGGTGGTTAAAAAGGCAATGGGCCTGGCGAGATGGCAGCAGGAAATGACCTTGACGCCTGCTGGCCCGAGTCCAGGACCCGCACCTTGCCCTCCGCCCTCCACACGTGCACACAGACACAGTAAATAAACACATAATTGTAATAAGAACGTTGAAAGACCTCAATTATGAGATAGGATAATTAGCAATTGGTATTTTGGGTTCATTAAAACAACAATTAAATGTACTCAGGTAATGAGCTATTACTTGTCATCTGTCCCTAACAGGAACTAAATTGAGCTTGTTTGGCTCCTCCAAAAATGGATTTGGGTTCAAACAGAGTGACCTTGACGTCTGTATGACAATTAACGGACATGAGACTGCTGAGGTACGGTTGCCACGTGAACACACATGTGCTGTGAACATGTGGTTAGCGCCGTCCTCACTGGCAGAGCTGTGAGGCATCTGGAATGTGCCGGGGCATTCCACATGCAGTGCACCACGGAGCACAGCCTCTGACACCTGCGTTGACCCGCTCGGGGGATGTGAGGAGTAGAGAGCTCTGGCTGGGCGTGGGTGGTGCACGCTGTGGTCCTAGCACCTGGGAGTCTGATGGAGGAGGATTGCTAGAAGGTCAAGGTCAGCCTGGGCTGCCTAGCAAGAGCCTGTCTCAGAGCAACACTGACCAGGTAGCTCTGAAGGGACTGCCCAGTGTAGTACAAATTGCACTGGATGCTGTGAAGCCAGACCACCTACCTTCACCAGTACCCATTGGCTTAGCCACTAGACCAGGGCACATGTCCTCCCAGAGTTGTCTATGGTGTTGGGTTGCTTACACACGGTGAGTATTCACTCTACAGCTCAGGGTCTAGATTTGAGGCAAACTTGGTCTTATCAGTACCAAGACATGTACTTTGGTAGCTAAGTAATCATTTCTGTTCCCCCTGTTGCTTTGGGGAGCTCTCTCTTGGGTGGCTTGGATCACATGTGTCAGCAGACAGCTGAAATGCAGCTTAGAGCCTGGTTTGTTGTTGTTTTGATTTTTCCCCTCTTCTTGAAGATGGGGCTGCTGTATAGTCCAGGCTAGTCTGGAACTCCTGATTTTCCTGCCTCAGCCTCTGATTCCTGGGGTTATGGCCTGTGCCATCGTGACACAGCCTGTTGGCACAGATTTATTAGCATAGTGCCTCACTCAGTCCTGTATGTGTTTACTGTGGCTGCTTTCTCTCCTCTCCCTCTCCCTCCCTCCCTCCCTCCCTCCCTCCCTCTCCCTCTCTCTCCCTCTCTCTCCCTCCCTCCCTCCCTCTCTCTCTCCCTCCCTCCCTCCCCCTCTCTCCTTCTCCCTCTCTCCCTCTCTCTCTCCCTCTCTCCCTCTCTCTCTCCCTCCCTCCCTCCCTCTCTCTCTCCCTCTCCCTCTCTCCCTCCCTCCCTCCCTCCCTCCCTCCCTCTCTCTCTCCCCCTCCCTCTCTCCTCTGATAAGTGCCTCAGGCATTCCAGGTGGGCCATGCGCTGAGTTACACCTGTCACTGGGGATCCTTTGTTTTAAATGATGGTCCCATAGAAGCTGTTGATCTGGTGCCTGCACTGCTGCTGCTCAGGAGCTCTTCCCTGGCTTTGCTCTGAGTCTGCATTCCAAGGGCGTTTCTGACTTCAGGAAAACAGCCCAGATATGGAATGACCCACTATGTCTCCTCAAGGTCGGCTCTCACTAATGTGGTTTATAAACTACTTTTGACAGCATTTCTAAAGTTGTAGGATCTGTGTAACCGTCAGAAGGACTTATGCAGATGGGAATCACAAACACGTTTTTTACTTGAAGGCACAGTGGTATGTGCTTGCATCCCAAAGTTTGGGAGGCACAGGCAAGAGGGCCTTGAGTCTTGAGGTCAGCCTGTGCTGCACAGGCTGTGGTCTAGAAAACAGCAAAAACATGAAGAAGGACTTGGCCAAAATACTATTCCAAATTACTGTGTGACTTTAATTATGGCCGGTCCCACAGGGAAACTACCTGAGTTGAGTCACTTTCCACAGCAAGCCATCAGTTCTTAACTAAACTGCGCAGATCTGCCAGGCATAAATGAGACCAAATACAGAAGCCCTCTCTCATATCCATGCCTGAGGTATTCTTCCAAATGAGATCGTTCTCATGGCTCGAGTCCTTTCTGCAAGCTCTGATTCGGACTTTTGTTGTACATCCAAAAGCAATTAAGGCTTGTTTAGAGGCTTGCATATCTTTAGGGTGTTTTGTATGTATAGTAACTGACATTCGACTCAAAGGGACATAAAAACCATCTGAAATTGGGCTTGATGCGTCAGCTGGACAGATGAAAGTGCTTCAGCGGGATTCTGATGCCTGGCGTCAGTGCCTGAGTCCCACAGTGGAAGTAGAAAACTCACTCTGGAAAAGTTGTTTTCTGACTTCCATGCATGCTCTGTTTCACACATGTATCATCCTGACAGGTGTGTGCCCACACTCAGTGACACGTGCTCACACAGAAAAGTGAGAAGAAAGATGGGTGGAATGAACCTCACTGCCTGCGCAGGTGACAGAAGCTGTCACAGTGTGGGGCCCAGCCTCCTTTGCTTGGGGTCTGACCCAGAGCCTCACCAGCTAAACGAGCACACTCTAGCACTGAGCTCTATCCCCACCCTTCTCCTGAGTCTCACTAAGTCACCCAGGCTGGCTTTGAACTTGCTGTGCGGCCCAGACAGCCCTTCAATTGTTGACTGTCTTCTCTCAGTCTCCCGAGTAGCTAAGATGACAGGTGTGTGCCCGCAGGCCCAGCTTGTCTCCTGATTTAGCTCCCATTTCTCTCTGTGCCTTTGCTGCAGGGGTTGGACTGCGTACGGACCATTGAGGAGCTGGCAAGAGTCCTCAGGAAGCACTCAGGTACCTCTCCACACTCCTCAAGAGTGCTTTCTACCTTCTCTTTAGTTTTATGTATTTAGAGTTTATTCATGCCAATGAGAAGGAATGCCTTCTCATCTATGAAATCATGTAGTATTGGTATCACTAAACTGTTCTGTGGTCTAATATGGAAGAGAATTGGTAGTGATGACTGTGAGGTTGGTGCTAGCTGTTTTCTCTCTGTTACAAAGCGTATAGAAGGCAGGTGAGAGGTGAAGTCACTTTGTGCCTCGTGTGTGAATCCAGCTGTAGACACTGCTGAAATCTGTGGCGCATGGTGGAGAGGATACAGATGTAGTGGGTTGTGTTTGCATCCCATCTCAGCACTCTGTGAGTCATATGCAGGACGCTTAACATGGCTGCATCTGTTCTCGCTACAGATCTAGAAGGCTGCTCCAGGTAGTTTCTGAAGCATTTAGAGCCGTACAGTGTGTAGGTCCTGCTAGTGGCATACAAACCTGAAATGCTGTGACCAGAATAGTGAAAATGTGTGTCTGTCTGCTTGCTTGTCTCTTGCTGGGGTCGAATTTGAACCCTTGCTCAGCAGAGGCAAGCACTCTACCCCTGAAGTACCCCAGTTCTGTCTTAAACATGGCTGGCCTCAAACTCACAGAGATCCGCCTGCCTCTTCCTCCTGAGTGCTGGGATTAAAGGTGTGAGCTGCCATCATCCAGCCTCAAACATTAATTTCTTAAACTTCAGTTCTGAGGATAAAGAATGAAGGTGAATAGCATGACCTCTGTTCTTGTGGACACACTCATGGGTGTGCACGCATGCACAAGCGTGTGCGCACACACACACAACACAGGAATAATTTCCTTTGTATATTGAGAAGATATTTCACAAGTAAGAGTCCATCTGTAAAGATAAGTTTTGTTTGGATTCTCAGATTATGCAAAGAAACTGAAGTTCCTAGAGTCGGATGTCTTTAGCGTTTAGGACTGAGTTGGACTCTTGACATTTACTGTAGCTCACCCTACTTGCTCTGGGTCCTTTTCTGGACCACTGGGCTGAGATAGACACGCCCTGTCCTAAGCATCCTCAGTGTAGATTTCGTAAAGACAAACTATGTTCAGTGGTTGTTTTTAGAACGGAAACTGCTCTGTGTAGTCATTCATACAGAGAATTGTATGATAGAAATAGGATCTAGAGAATTTAATAGAAACTAGAGGGCTCTGCCCACAAGCTAATGCCTTTAGAGGCAGTCTCCCCAGCTGTGGTATTGAATGCCTGCTCTATAATTACAAGTGGTGGTTATTGAAGGACAGCACAAACGTGAAAAGACCTGTGTCTCTCCTTTGGTGGTATTCGGGGGAGCTGAAGTTCGGCATAAAACTTGATTGCACTGGGTAGAAACAGGAGCCGAGGTGACATGCAAGGGGGAGTCTCGGAGGACAGGTTTGGGAGTGTCAAGAGAGGTCAATCATGGCAGATTCCTTAAAGAGAGAGAGGCACAGCAAATTGTGGAGATTCTCAATCACAGACTTCCCTCTGGTTCTATGCTGTGTGAATTCGGGTTTGTTGTTGTTTGTTTTGTTTTTTGTTTCTTTGTTTTTGCATTTCCATTCCACTGCCTCTACCTGCTCTTACTCTAAACCCCTTCTAGACTTGAGCACTGACTTCTGTGCTGTCAGCACAACAGGCAAATGCCTGCTAGCCTGACCTGTGCGCAGCCAGTGAAGCTGGGGTTGTCCAGCTTTAACCCAAGGCCCTGCCCCACAGCTTACCACTGTGCGTTCCTGAGTGGCCTCTGTGGTGAAGTTGAAAGCCTGGTTGTGGAGGGTCCTCCGTGTACCCCCATTACGTTAGGCCCATGGGAATTGAGAGCACCCTCTTCTTGCTCATATAGGCAGCCTGAAGCATGCATCCCTTGTCCTTGCATTCTCGGGCCAGCATGCATTTCAAGCCCAGATGTTCTTCAGGAGTGGCCACCCTGCTTCTGTCCCTGTGCCTCTGGTCCACTGTTTGCCAGAAACACGGTTCAACTCAATGGTCCATGATTCTCCGTACTTAACACATTGGCTTCTTTGCCTCAAGGACAGTTCTTCTCAGTTTCCCTCTGTTTGTTATAGCACATTTTTCCTGCCATTTTCCTGCCTGCATAGAGTCACGTAAGGGCCCTGGAGCATTTTTGTGCCATTTTCCTTACCAGGTAGATGCCCTCCCCCCTCCACTACTCCAGCATGCTCAGAGCGTAGCTCAGGCCGTCTCCTCGCCCACTGCGGGTCGTTCCTTCCTTTTCCATCCATTGCTCTAGTCTGTGGTGACCACTGTGTCAAGCATGATCGGATGGCTCCATGGGCCCCTGGTCAAATGGAAAGGGTGGTGGAACTCGTGTGTAGGCCCCAGTAATTCCTCTGGAAACAGCCCCGCCGCCACACGCGTTTGCAGCTTCTCACGAGCCAGCTGGTTTATGTGGAGGACGGTGGACTTTTTGGTTCTTGTGATTCAGTTATCAAATATGTGTTGAATAGATACAGACTTTGCCAGGTGTCTTCCTAGTTATTTAGTAAGAGACGTTGTTGATGAGTTGTAATGAATGCACTGAGACAGATAAAGTTAGGTCTGTTTATCGTGGGGCAGTAACATGAGGACCTTCTCTGCCCAGTTGTTGGGTTTAATCACACGTCTTATTTCCCTCATAGGGTTGAGGAACATCCTGCCCATCACAACAGCAAAGGTGCCCATTGTGAAGTTCTTCCATCTAAGAAGTGGTCTGGAGGTCGACATCAGCTTGTATAACACACTGGTAAGGTCTCCAGGGTTGGGCCAGCCGTCTGTCTTTGACGAGTCTCACAGACTAGCCTTGCCCAGTCTCACCTCTCACTCACCATGTTGTGAACCTCCTGTTTTCGTTCTTGAGTGCTTTTTGTCTTTTTTTTTTTAATCTTTCTTTTTGCTTGCTTCCTTGCGTCCATTCTTTCTTTCTGCAGGGATAGGAGTGGGGGTTGACAGGGCTTCATGATGCCGTGATTAGCCGTGACCTGTGCAGCTGATGGTAACTTTGAGCTCCTGGCTCCACTCAGCAAGTGCTAAGATTACAAGCATAGACTCCCGTGCCTGGCGTTTTGGGCATTTTCTTTAGGGAGATAAAGAGGGATAAATGTCTCTTTAAACATAAGTAAGTGAGATGAGGCGTTTATCTCATCCTCCTTACCCTGTCCGTCATTTTGGCTGCTCAGCCTTAGCCCCACATGGCTGAGGCAGCTCTCTGCCCTCGCTTTCTTCTCTCTTTGGGAATTATCTGGGTGCATGGTGTGTGCCTTGTGCCTTGTAGTACTCTGAGGCTGGGACTGTGGTGAGTTGCGTAGCTATTCATATCCAAGGGGCTGAGAGTGTAGCTCCGTGGTAGGATGTTTGCCTGGCATTCCATCCTCACTCTTGTCAGTGAGTTGGTAAATGCTCACCGTTTAAGTGTGAGAGTTTGTGTGTGTGCACATGTGTGTGTGCATGGGGGGGTGCGCATACACACGTGAGCGCAAGTAAAGATTCACTTTGCACAAGGTCGGAGGAGCAGGTTTGTCGCCCTGGCTTGGCCTCGACTGTAATTTGGTTTGTGTTCCTTGTCCCTCCTTTTTGGCCTCACTTGTGACTGCTTCCAGGCCCAAGGGGACGTGAGACCATTTTACTCAAATGGTGCCAAAGGGAAAAGGATAATCTTAGTTCTATTTAGAAACTCCTTATTGTATTTCTGCCTCCATCTTCCAAGTGCTAGGATGACAGCCCTGTGTTACCTTGTTTATTTTAATGGCTTTTTAAAAGTTTCTTCAGACTAATCACAAGTTGCATGTATTTGTCATTATCTCTTAGATTAACACACCTTATCTCAGAAAGACAGAAAGAACTTTCTAAAATGTATTATGGTGTGAACCTTTCTAGGTCAAAATGCTTTCAAAGCCTCATGGTGCCCTTTCCTTTTCCATAGGCTCTTCATAACACAAGACTCTTGTCTGCATACTCAGCCATTGACCCCAGAGTGAAATACTTGTGCTACACCATGAAAGTGTTCACAAAGGTGGGTATGCTGCTGCTTGTGGCTTCTCTGGAAATTGTTCTATGTTTGCAAACCTCGTAAAGCATAAGTGTGACACTACCGCCCTGCACACATAGTAGGTTAGCTTGGAACTTGCGATATAGACCAGGCTGGTCTTGAACTCACAGAGATCCTCCTGCCTCTGTCTTCCAAGTGCTAGGCTTAAAGGCGTGCATCGCCACACCTGGTTTGATGTCTTTTAGTTTTTCATGGTAGTACTGCCGAGACTAGCAGTCCACTGCTTTCTTGAGTTCAGTTTTATTTTTGAGTTGGTTGCTTTAGCTGACATATTCTCATTTTCAGAAATGTGGTTTTGCTTTAGCTCCTCGAATGAGGTAACAGGGTGACTGCAGCCTGAGTAGAAATGGTGGTCTTGACAGCGCTGTCTCCTTCCTCTAGATGTGCGACATCGGTGACGCGTCCCGAGGCAGCTTGTCATCCTATGCGTACACGCTAATGGTGCTATATTTCCTTCAGCAGAGGTCTCCACCTGTCATCCCTGTGCTTCAAGAGGTACCCACGGGGCCTGTGTCCTCTGCAGAGCAGTCTGCCTCTGCTAGTGCTGTAGTTCTGTAGTCAAGTCTTTAACTTTCCCTGGATGTCTGGGTAGCAGTGCGTTAGTTTTTCATTCTGTACTAATGCTTTGAAATTTAATTTCAGATATACAAAGGTGAAAAGAAACCAGAAATACTTGTTGACGGCTGGAATATTTACTTTTTTGATCAAATAGATGAATTGGTGAGTATTTTAAGGTAAAGATTTTCCTAACCCTTGACTAAAAGTTGTTCTGTTCTGTGCTGTGATTACCTTGGTATAGAGTTGTCACATCTGTCTGTTGTGAGAGTGAAGACTGGCGTTCACAAGTGTTCCCTTTCACTAAGCTAGCTGTGTTTTTAGGCACTGTACCCAGGATTTCATCAGTGTCAACTGGTTTTTGGTAGTAACTATTCCAAGGGAACAAATTTTTGCAGCGTGATTCTGGTTTTTTGTGGTTTTTGTTTGTTTTCAGTTTTTCTGTGGCTTTGGAGGCTGTCCTGGAATTCACTCTGAAGACCAGGCTGGCCTCGAACTCACAGAGATCCTCCTGCCTCTGCCTCCCGAGTGCTGGGATTGAAGGCGTGCGCCACCAACTCCGGGCTGTGATTCTCTCTAAGACTTTGTGTTGATTCGCACTGAGTTCTGCCCTGCTGACTGCACAGCACCCAAGCTTCTTCACGGAGTCTCCACCGTCAAATTCTGAGACACTGCCAACAGAGGAGCTTGATGCGCTCATGTAAACGCTGCTTTAAAAGACACAAGGAAATCAGGCATGGCGCACACCTTTAATCCCAGCACTTGGGAAGCAGAGGCAGGCGGATCTCTGTGAGTTCAAGGCCAGCCTGGTCTACAAAGGAAGTTCCAGGACAGCCAGGGCTACATAGTGAGACGCTGTCTCAAAAACTCAAAGAAAACAAAAACAAAACAAACAAACAAACAAAAAACAAAGGTGAATGAGAACTCAAGCAATGACATTTTTGTGTTTATAAGCGAGTTGATCAGTCCAGGTTTTTCCTCCTGGGGTGCAGTTGTGTACAGCTGTTAACATTTTACGGTGGAGTGACATCCCTTGTTCCCTTTTGTCTCTAGCCCACTTGTTGGCCAGAATATGGAAAAAATACAGAATCTGTTGGGCAGCTGTGGTTGGGACTTCTCCGTTTCTATACGGAGGAGTTTGATTTTAAGGAACATGTGATCAGCATCAGAAGAAAAAGTCTGCTCACGACCTTTAAGAAACAATGGACCTCAAAATACATCGTTATTGAAGGTAGGAGTAAAGTCAAATTAGAAGTGGTATGTTGGACTAGCAAACGGAGGGGTGGTGTGCAGAGCCTGTGAGTTGTCGTGGAGTCTAAACTGTGAATGTGTCCGTGCACTCTTTCCTGGCAGGATGGCTTTTGTGGGCAGCTACTGACCTGAGGCCCAGAGCGTGCAGCGCAGCAGCCCTGCTGTGGCCCACACCATCTGAAATGCTCATTTTAAATAACTGATGCCTTCAGGTGGGGCCTCTCACGAGTCCAGAAGTCTTGGTTCAGCAGAACCCGTGGGGGAGGGGGGGCAGTAGAGATGAGGTCACTTCAAGGCAGTGGGCATTAAACCCAGAGCCAGCTGTTCTTCTCGTTCTGAGTCTGTCGTGGATTTGTTGTTTTGTTTTAATTGTTTTTGGTCGTGGGTGAGTGCACGAAGCATTTAAAACTGAATGTGTGAAAGAGTGAGGAGCCCACAGCTTCCACTTTGAAAGCCTGTTCTAACTGAATAGAGATTCATTGAGTTGTATGGACTTTGGGTCTGGTTAGTTTTGGTGTGTGATGGTTTTATGTATTTGCAAGGGTCTTTTTTATAATAAAGTTAAAATAATTTAAAACTAAAATAAAACCTTACTGAAGGTTGGAGAATGCCACTAGAAATGAATTTTAGACCTTTGCTTACTGTAATAGTTTGTCAGTGCTGACCATAGGGAGAGGCTTTTTCTAACTGGGCCTGGTGCTCAAACCTGTCACTCCAGCACTGGAGGCCGAGGCAGACGGATCAGGTCATCCTATGAATTTAAGGGTCCATTGGAGCATTGATGATTCGAGTATCATTTTTACAGAGACAAAAGGAAGATTAAATGCTTTTATGAGCTGGGAAGTAGCTGAGGAAGTGTCTTCTTGGTCTCATAGGATCCACTTTCTTACCATGCGCTGGTGTCTAGATGGTGTGTGCACTTCATGATTACTTCATTTCTTATGATAGTGTTGGATGCAGAGCTGCGAATTTAGCCTGGGCTCTGGGTGGAGGTGTAAACACTATAAAGATGACATGGGACAGCATGTATAACCTGAAGGACTGTATAAAGATGACAGGATGCTCCTTTCTTTTTAATGCTTTCGGGAGATCCTGCCTTATATGTAGGTTTGCCTTTTGCTCAGCTGTGCATACCTCTTACTAGTCGGCAAAGAGGCAGCGCTCTCTTCTTGCTGTGTGGACCTAGGTTAAGGATGGATGGCAGCATGTCCTACTTGTTATCTTCTTGTCTCTTTCTTTTTCTCACTCAGATCCCTTTGATTTGAACCACAATCTTGGTGCTGGATTATCAAGAAAAAGTAAGTTGCTCTTGTCTGTAAACTTTGTGCAATCTCCTGTTCCCGTGATGCCTGCAACTGAATTCCTGCTTTATTTCTTTACAGTGACAAATTTTATAATGAAAGCTTTTATCAATGGTAGAAGAGTATTTGGAATTCCAGTCAAAGGATTTCCAAAGGACTACCCTTCAAAAATGGTGAGTTTCTGTTAGAAATGCCAGAGAGCCACTGAGGTGCACATTGTAACCACCCATAAGTATGCAGTCAAGGATGGTTGAGTAAAGATGATTGACATACCATCTTCTCCTGTGTCCTTCTGTGGTGTGGCATTTGAAATATGTATTATTGACTGCGGCCCCCACAGTCTCTCCAAATCTATTCCTTCCCTCTGTCTAGAACTTTGTCCCCTTTAAATAACAGCGTCTCATTCCCTTCCTCCACCCAGGAAGACTTTGCTGCAACTTCTACATGTGGGCGTGTAGGTACTTTTAGCATAGTGTTGTCAGGTTCCTGTCAGATACTACTCTGGGCATCTACAGTAGTGTGTCTCACGCTTGTTCAAGAACTCCTTCCCCTGAACAGTCTGCTAAGATGAGTACTTTCTTCCCTAAGTGTGTAGGCAGGACGCAGCCTCCCACAACTCCTACAGCAGACACTGGAGTGGACCTTCTGTTTCTTTCTCTTCAGAAGCGCACAGCAGCACCAGGACTAGCATGTAGCTCTTTACTTTGCCTTAGTGTAGAATTTGCACGACGTAGATTATGTTTCTCAGTTCACTGCCATTTTGTTTCCTGACAACCTCTACGCATGGCCTTGGCTCCTCCTTTTGTATTGAAGCCGTGTGTGTGTGTGTGTGTGTGTGTGTGTGTGTGTGTGTGTGTGTGTGTGTGTCTGTGTGTCTGTGTGTCTGTGTGTCTGTGTGTCTGTGTGTCTGTGTGTGTCTGTGTGTTTGTTGTCAGTATCTTCCAACTAGGTTTAGGTCAGTCTATCATTCATGCCTCTCACTGGTCACTGGTGTCAAGGCCTTGTTTGGGATGAACAATACAAATATTAAATCCTTACCTGTTCTCGCACTGGTTATGTGGTGTGCCGTGGTCCTGTTTGCTGTTCTTTTACACAGCTCTGTTCTTGTAGGAATACTTTTTTGATCCAGATGTCCTAACTGAGGGAGAACTGGCTCCCAATGACAGGTGTTGCCGAATCTGTGGAAAAATCGGACACTTCATGAAGGACTGTCCCATGAGGAGAAAGTAAGCACATGTTGACACGGGGTAGCCTTGCTTCTGTTTCCTTGCTGCACTAGTTTCTAAAGGCGAGTCTGTTGATACAGAGGAAAAGAGGAAATAAGCCTCTGAAATGGAGCATTTTTCAGATAATTTTTTTTTAAAAAAGCACAACGAAGTGATCCCCGTGTGCAGATGCTGAGGGCTGGCTCACATGAAGGTGACCACCCTCCAGGCCAGCTGCTCTTCCCTGGTTTTAAATTACCTTAGTCATTAATGGTTACTTTGAGCCTAGGCACCACGCAGTATCCTGATGGTGTTGGTGAGAGGCAGGGGGATATTTCTTATGGTCTGCTTGGACCATTGTGCTCCTGACTGACAGTGGTGTTGCTATTAACTGGGCAGTGCTATTCTTATTTCAAAATGCACTGTGGCATGCTAGTGATCAGTAGTGCAGAAAGAAATGGTCTTGATACTTGGGTGCTGTTTACAGGGACTCTGTGCACTTGGGAGGCTGAAAAAAGATCATGAGTTCAAGACCAGCCTCAGCTACAAAGGGAATCTGAAGCCATCCTAGGCTATATGTCACATTCTCTCAAAAAAATAAAACAGATGTGACTAAAGAGATGGCTCAGAAGTTAGGAGCACGTGCTGCCCATGCTGTGGGCCCCAGCTCCATCCCTAGTGCCTGTGTCTGGTGGACCATGCCTTTAACTCCAATCCCAGGGCTTCCGTGGGCATTTGCATATGCATGGTACACGTACATATACTTAAAATAGAATTACTTCTAAAAAATAAAATGAAGGGAAAAGTGACCCACATTTATTTAGATAAACCTCTTCAAAACCATTGTTAAAATTGTCTTTGAAATTCAAGTTTCAGTTCAGACTTTCACTGCCTAGTGACAGGCCAATGCATCAGAAAGTCTGATGAACACAAATCATGTGATGATGTGAGTTTCATCACACGGGTCATCAAAGCAGGCATTGGCTCAGCAGTGAGCGCTGGCTTCGCAGCGTGTGGCAGACAGGCTTTGGGCTTTCTGGTCCTGGTTATCTCTGCATCTGGACATAACTTGATATTTTGTTAAGTTTCCATAGACACTTTTCCTATTAGTATTTTATCTTTGATAGAGTGAGGCGACGGCGAGACCAGGAAGATACCCCAAACCAAAGATACTCCGAGAACAAAGAAAAAAGAAGTAAAGAGGACAAAGAAATTCCGAACAAGTATACAGAAAAGGAGGTGTCAACAAAAGAAGACAAGCCCACACAGTGCGCAGCTTCAAAAGCAAAGCCATCGAGGGCAGTTGTAGACCTGGGGCGGGAGAAGATTCTCAGGACACCTGTGGAGAAATGGAAGAGACAGGATGACAAAGACTTAAGAGAAAAACGTTGTTTCATCTGTGGAAGAGAAGGGCACATTAAAAAGGAATGCCCACAGTTCAGAGGCTCTCCAGGTATAGACACCCCTTCAGAGACCTTGATGTCTATGCTCAAGGGATGTTAACCTTTTTAGAGTTTTTCACATTTTGTATTGGTTTCTTTAGGAAATTTCTATACTCAGCAAAGATCATGCTGTAAGGAAGTGGCGTCTCCCTGACACCCTCTGTATGACTTAACTGCTTATTCCTTAGTCTTAGGAAAGTGTAAGATTGTCAGTGAAGTGGCAGTTGGCTCATCTCCAGCCCTCATAGGCGTAGTCTCCGTAGCCAGTGAACACGTTACAGCGAGAGGCATGCCGCTGCTCACTGTGCGCACTGCCTAGTCACCAGGGGAGGCAGCAGCCGAGCTTATCTCAAGATGCCACCGTGTACCAATGAGCCGCTCACTTTCTCATCCACATACTCTGAGCAGGTGCGTAGGAAAGAGAATAGGAGAACGCTGACAGGGTTCGTGTCTGCAGAGAGCTGTGGGTGGATCTCGTCTTTAGCCCTCTAATTTAAATACCTTTCTGTCAGTGACCATAGATAGCTCTTCTTAGGATGAAGGGGAAATTGTCTTAACAGCCCACAGCTCAGAGTCATCCACAGATCTTCTGGAGCTACTTACGAGGCTGCAGCAGAAGGTCACCTTAGCCCGGGAGTGACAACATCCAGGGAACATAGTGTGACCCTGCCTTGAGCCTAAAATCACACCACCCCCACGTATTGAACCTTTATGTTGCAGCATGTGAGTGAGCTGGTTATTTTTACTGAACACGTTATGTCTGTCATGGGACCTTTTTAAACAGAGTCTGGGCACCTTTAACCTGTATAAGTTATAGTCTTCAAAACAACCTATAGACTGTACTGGTCCTTAGAATAAGCCTGGGTGAATTTGGGTTAGTGTAGAGAGGAGCCCTAGAGGGTAATTGTTGCTGCACATTTGCTGAATGTGTTAGTTAGGGCAGCACTTCCCTCCAGACACCGTGTGCATGTGCTGGGAACACTGTTGCACTCTTGCATTTTAGATACCAGGTCTGCCTGAAAGATCCTCTCGGTGTTTACATCTGAAAGTTTTAGATCTCTCTCTCTCTCTCTCTCTCTCTCTCTCTCTCTCTCTCTCTCTCTTTTTTTTTTTTTTATTTCTTTGGGTTTTTGAGACAGAGAATCACTATTGTAGTCAAAGCCAGCCTAGAATTTGCTATGTGGTCCCAGCTGGTTTTAACCTCAGAATCCCGCTGCCTCCTGAGTTCTGGGATTACGTGCATATGCTATTATGCCCAGTTCATCCTTATTTATTTTTAAGGGAGCCTAATATAGAAAGAATGTGTTTTAACATTTTATTTTAAGTAATGCTTGAATATTTATGAATGATACAGCTTTGACTGGCTTCCACGGCCTGAGTCAGCCTTGTTCTTCTAAGAGGTTGGAACTTAGCCCCAATATTTGCCTTGATTTCTCTTTATAAGGAGGTGTGATTTAAAGAAATTAAAATAGTGACATGTTAACATTTAGTCAACATGCTACTCAGGGTCAATTAGGCACTATTTCAAAGTTAAGTATAGTTAAAGGTGGCCTCAGACAACAGCCTCCTTAAACCTAGTTGGAACTAGACAATATGGATACAATTTAATAGTTTTCTCGAAGTTCCTCTTGTACTCTGTATTGGATAAAGACTCAAGGCTGTGTTTACAAACAGCATGAAACAGATCTTTGTGGTCCCCTTCTCCTCTTCCTTCAGCGTAATCTTCCTGTATTGCCCCCACAGGTGCATTCCTTTGTCTGGCAGCAAGCCTTAAATTACTGACCAGTATGTCTCAAAACTGGTAGAGTGGGACCTAGGGAGACGACTCCGCTAACAAAGTGCTTGCACAAGGACCTGGCCTCTGTTCCCAGTGTGGACATGAAAAGCAGGGCATTGCAGTGAATGCTCTTAACCCTGTACTGGGGAGGCAGAGGCAGGCAGATCCTTGGGCTCACTAACCAGATAGCTTAGCCTAACTAATGGAATCCCAGTGAGACACCCTTCCCCCCCAAACCAGAATGGACTACTCTTGAATGAACTCAGATACACATACATACACCCCCACACACACACAAGCGTGAGAATGGCGGTTCTGGAAACCTGCATATGTAGTGTTCACAGCTACTGTCAACAGTCAGCACTCGAGGGCAGGAGAGACACGGGGAGCTAGAGTGTGACAAATGCTGCTTGGTGGTAATTAAAATAATCAGTTGTCTCTGTCCCCAGAGTTCCGCCCTTCCCTGTCATTCCTTCAGTGGACTGTGTGGAATTCCATCATCACATCAACAGAAATTTTTTCTTTGTGCAAACAAGGCTGTTGCTTTCTATTTAACATGGGAACGAAAAGTGTTCCTTTCTTTCTGTAGGTGTGTGTAAGTCAGATTATGTGTCTGGATACCCTTCACCTAGTCCTTTGAGACCAGTTGCTCAGGTAAAAGCCAGCCCAGACCTGAGAAAGGAGCCCCGTTCGCTCTGCCTGCTCTTCCCCCACCCCCACCCCCCAGTCTTCTGGAGCGCTTGGAGCAGTGTGCTGGGTCTCCCGGCTGCCCTGTGTGCTTACTCCTTCTGCGCCCATGCACTGTGTGGTAGGGCTTGTTGGGCCCTGGTAGCAGGGGCTTGCTGGACGACTAATGTGCAAACATCTGCCACCCATATGCCTAATCCCAGCTCTTGGATACACTTTGAGACTGCTTCTGTTACTTTTACCTTCAGTTTTTGTAAACCAGTCTATTCCTTTTTTTAGGCAGAGCTTTTACATGAAGACAAAAAGAAACAAAAAACAACCATATTTTTGAGTCCCCAGTCAGGTATGTGGTTTTTAAAGGATCAGATATGTGTTGTTTTTCTTCTCTGAGTATTTTACCACATGCCTTTTGAGATTCTTCCTTTGCCATGTGGCTCTGATGGAGGGTTTATCAGAACCTCACAAGGGAACCTAAAAAAAAAAGCTCTCGCCTTGCTTGCACCTTATGTCCTTAATCTGATTGTTCCGGGGGTGTATTCTGGGTGACTTTGCCTCCCTGGGGGAGAATTGCTACCCTCAGCCATGGAGTCCTTCCTTGTACACTTTGTGACTACTGTGGGACTGTCATTGTCTTGCCCTCACTGTAGTCTCCTCGTCGAGATTATCTGCCATATTCCAGAAGAAAGAAAGCCTTCACCCGAACCCTCCACTCGGCAGCCAGACGGCTATTTCACTTATTTATCCCCTCAGTAAATATCTACTGAGACTCTGACTGCAAAGCCCCGGCCTTGGCACTGAATGCACCCCTGCGAGTGGCAAAGCCCTTCCTGTACAGTCTTGTCAGGGACAGACGACAGCAAAGGACACCCATATGGCCACAGATGCTTGAAGCAGGGAAATTGCAAAGTGATGCTGAGTACGGCACTATCTCCTCTAATAAAACATCATCTCAAAGTCAGCCAAGTCATAGGATGTGAGGGCTGCTCTTCAGCCCGAGACTGTGGCAGGAATGGTGTGAGCATGGGCGAGCAGTGGGAGATGAAGTCAGAGTAGGTGAGTCTGGTGTCCTGGAACTCCAGCAGTGAGGAGGGACTGGAAGGTTTTTGCTTAGTGAGACGGGAACCTACTGGAGACTTCGCTGGAGGAACGGTGCTCTTTGAAGACTTGTGAAAGGCTAGGGTGGGAACGCTGCAGCCACCAGCGTGTTCACCTAGGTAGCTGAGTAGAGGTGACGACTCAGCCTTGGGTGGAGACTCTGGGGAGGGTGGTTGGGTGTGGATGTTCTGAAGGTAACACCAACAAAATGGATGTATTGGGCAATGACATGAAAATACAGTAAGGCTCGGATGTCACAGCAGTCTTTGTCTGAGAGCTAGAAAAATAAAGGAGAACCTTTTGTGGAGGAAGAAATCAAGGTCTGTTTCATAGCGGTAGCTGTAGAATTCTAGGGCAGAGATGTCGAGTGGCCAGTTGACTCTTACGAGCCTAGCATTTAATTGGTCCAGGCTGCAGAAAGGAGTGTTGACAATGTGGAGGTAGCATTTTAAGCCCCCGTGCCGGGAAGATCTCCCAACAAGTAAAAGCACATGGAACAAAGGGAAGTGTGTGGACCCTGGAAATAAAGAAGACACAGAGAAAGATGACCAGAGAAGGAGCAGGAGCCAGAGTTTGGTCTTGGAGTGCAAGGGAATGAAATGCTCTGTGAAGTACTGTTCAGGGTTGTGTGTGGAGACTGAGTTCAGCAATGGGCTTGGAACCTGGGCTCACTGGAGCCTTTACAAAGAGCTTTCCTTTTGGTAACAAGAATCAGAACTGCATGGAAAGGAATTGGGGCCTGCTCGGCCTTGGCTGTGGTATTAAGGGCAGAGCTACCTCCTGCCATGTCTCAGGCCTGTGGAGGGACGCGAAAGAGAACATGGTGGACTGCCAGGGCGAGGAGGTCTTTCCCTGATATTTCAAATGTTCTTCTGAATCCTGAAAAAGAAAGGACAAAATTGAGGTAAAGAAAAGACAGTGGATTTTTTTTTCAGCATTACTATAGGAAATAACAAAACTATAAAGCATAATGAAAATCGGAGTCCTGGCCAGTAGATGACCTGAGTAGCTTTGCTAAATCAGTCTGTCCTGGTCCTTTACCTCTTTAAACTTAAGGAGGCTAGCAGAGGGAAGTTAAGAACCAAGAGCATGCACAGTCAGTCCCTTTTAAGTTCTTGCATTTCTTATGAAAGAAAAGAATGGGGGGGGGTCTTTTGTAACGTGAGGTTCTTTGTCCTAGCCAGTCCCTCAGCCCTTGAGCCCCAAATAAACACACAAAGACTTATGTAATTATGAAACTGTTGGCTGGTGACTTGGGCTTCTTATTGGCTAGCTCCATCTTAATTATTAACCCATTTCTATTAATCTTAAGTATTTCCACATGATCTTATCTTACTGGAGAAGGATCCAGTGCATCCTATTCTCCTGGCCTCCACATGGCAACTCCTCTCTGCCTACCTTTCCCAGAATTCTCCCCTTCTCCTAGCCCTGCCTAATTGGCCAACAGTAGAAGAAAACTGCAGATATTAATTATATATCTAGAAATGGCATGGCATGGTCAACTGACATTTAGTTACAAACAAGTTGTTATTCTGGATAAAAACCCTCAACTAAAAAACCTACTAACTTAAATGTATTATGGGGAAATTTTATTACAGATTATATCCTGCTTTCTATAAGAAAAAAAATCCAGATGGGTAAGATTTCTCCTTTCCCATAAAATAACTCATGAAGTAATTTACACCTGTCATGTGCAGATGTAAATTATGTTGTTAGCATGTGAACTGTGCCTGTGTTATAGAATGGCTTTCCCTTGAACCCTTTGTAGACTGTGCCTTTGACCCACTCGTAGTCTTTAGTGGGCACATGGTGGTGGACAGCTGTGCTCTTACCCTTTGACTTTGCTGGTCTTGGGAAACAGACGCATTTCTGCTTCAGATGCCATGGCTCAGCAAATAGTGTTACTTTAAACTATAAAGACCACTGGTGGGTAGGGATGGCTCAGTGGGCAAAATGCTTAAGCTCAGTCATGAGGACCAGGGTTTGGGTCCTAGGTGGATGCTAGGTGGGTGTGGCCACCTGCTTGTAAACCATCACATAAGAGGCGGAGGGGGGGAGCCCACAGAGAGAGGCTGGGTGCTAAGTAGCCCTGCCTCAGTGTATAAGGACAAACTCTATGGGGGAGGTACTTCAGCCTGTCTCCATATGTGGATACACGCATACAAAGTGTCCAAGCACATATGAACATACGTAAGCATGAAACTATCATACACATGGGAGGGGCCAAGGGACTACACAGGGTTTGTTTGTTTCCATTGAGCTTTAAAATCCTGGTCAATGATAAAGTTATTATATGGCTATACATAAACATGAAGGAGGAAAGATAACTACCAATCTCTGAAAATGACTGATTTTTTTTTTTTTTTTTTTTTTTTTTTTTGGTTTTTCGAGACAGGGTTTCTCTGTGGCTTTGGAGGTTGTCCTGGAACTAGCTCTTGTAGACCAGGCTAGCCTTGAACTCACAGAGATCTGTTGCCTCTGCCTCCCGAGTGCTGGGATTAAAGGCATGTGCCACCAACACCTGGCTATGTCTCTGATTTTTAAAGCATCAGGTCATAGAATTAAATGGAATTTTAAAAAAGGCTTGTGGTAGGTCATTCTTTTTATATATATATCTTTTGCAATCATCTTATATGAGTATATTCATCAATTGACTACCCTGACATACTTAACTACAACAAAAGCATTTATAAATTAGATTTTAAAACACTCAAGCTATAAAAATTTCCTCTAGTATGCGTTTTTATTTTGACTATGTAAATGGTCAAAATAAATGTTATAAAAATTAAAGTTACATTTTATGTACTTATTGAAAACGACTTACACTGAGATAGGATACTTCCTCTTTGAATAAGCATTGTGTGTGTGTGTGTGTGTGTGTGTGTGTGTGTGTGTGTGTGTGTGTGTGTGTGTGTGTGTGTGTGTGTGTGTGTGTGAGATATTCCTTATGTCTTTGATGTGTAAACACTGAGAAATCCCAGTAGTCTTTATGACAGCAAATGAGAAGCAATAGAAATACTTAGAGTACTGGTCCTTAACCTTCCTAATGCTGTGACCCTTTAATCCAGTTCCTCATGTTGTGACCCCCAACCATAAAATTATTTTGTTGCTACTTCATAACTGTAATTTTGCTACTGTATGAATCATATAAATATCTGTGTTTTCTGGTGGTCTTAGGCGACTTTTGTGAAAGGGTTGTTTGGACACCCCCCCTCAAGGGGTAGTGACCCGCAGGTTGAAAGTCACTGCTTAAGAGGTTAGAAATGTTTATTCCTGGCTTTCTGAAACAGGTGTTCTCTGTGTGGCCCTGGCTGTCCTGGAACTCAGAGATCTGCCTGCCACTGCTTCCCGAGTGTTAGGATTAAAGGCGGGTGCCACTACAGCAGGCAGAAGATATGTTTTCTACAACAGTGCCTGAACTCAGTTACCTGAATTCATTGTTAATTATGTGACCCAAAATCAAATCATGGCATGTCACAGAAAGTTGTTTTTAATGATTGTTCACATATCAGTGGAATTCTTAAGAAGTAAGGGGCTCCAGACATCATGTCGACACAGCTGCCGGCATGTTGCTTGCTTCCCATTGCCCTAGGAGTCATGAGACATGTGATGGGAAGCATAGTCTCCGTTCTGACATAGCACCGAGTTCACTGTAGGAACACAGTGTGCAAAGCCGTTTCTTCAGAGACATGCTCACGCTTCCGTCTTCAAGAAGTGTGTGTGAGCTCCAGTACAACCAGTGTTTACGGTGGGCTTCCTATAGTTAAGTCTCTCCCTTACAAACACATCCAGGATGTATCTCCTGAGTGCTTCTAAATCCGGTCAAGGATGTGTTTTCTTCTTTATATAGTCTTTTTTCTTTAGGAAAACTGTGTCCCTGCCTTTGAAAATATGCACTACTGCTTATATTTTACTTTCTTTGACATTTAATGACAATTTAATAAATGACATTTAATGACAGGGTGAGGGGCAGTTTTAAAAAGGAAGGTACCTTTCTTCTACCCTTAAAGATGAATGTATTTGAACCAGGTGTGGTGGTGACAGAGTCCTTTAATCCCAGCACTCAGAGGCAGCCAAATCTCCATGAGTTCAAGGCCATCAAAAAGAAGAAAAGAAAACCGAAATAAAACAAAATTAGTTGACATGATACCTACCAGTCACTAAATAGTGTATTCTCTCTGGTTTGAGTAGAGCCCTCATTATACAGTAGTAGCAGCTATGCAGGTTCTCTCAAGTTCCCAGCAATCTAGCCTACGTCACTGATGTGTTCAGACCCCTGGACACAGTAACTGCTGTAAGGTGTGGCTTGCTTTGATGGTAATTAGTTCTCATTCCTGTCCTTCACCTGTAAGTACGGTGAATTTTATTTTCCCCTTGTATGTCCATAAGGTATTACCAGACTTCTAAAGGGTAATGGCGGGAGATTCTAACTTCTGACCAGAGAAGTCTTTGTCATGTTTGGTTGCAGACAAAAAGAATGACCTTTGTAAAGAGCGTTCAGTGTTGGTTTCCTCCGGCCTTGGCACCAGTCTGGGAACACAGCCTGTGGCTGTGTTGAAACAGCCTCCCTGGGGGGTTGGGGGGGCTTGTCAGCTCTGTAATGCCTGTCGGTGCACTTGTTCACCCGACCCAGGACAAGTGCCCTTTCCAGTGGGACACACTCTGTGGGTGACTGACAATAACTGTTGTGTGACTTTGATCAAGTAAGGCAATGTTCATTTATGTCAGATTTTGTTTTTCCTCCTAGGTAGCCTTTCCAGTAAATACATGACTCAGGGGAAACCCTCAGTGAAGAGGACCCAGCAAGAATCATGAGGGAAGGAAACACAGCCCTGGAAATGGCCACTCAGGCTCCCCATCCACTTGGAAAATTAGGTTCACTTCACAGGACATAGCAACACAGATCAGGCTTCAACGGAACAGTTGAGGGAGATGTCGGAATTTTTAAAATTTTAATGAAATTGTTAATGAGGAAAAGAAATTTTTTTAAACACAGTCTTAACATCAGTCCCCACAGATTTGAAGAATTTCATAGAAAGCCATGATGTATTTAGGCCAGCTTGAGAGAAAAGAAATGTAACTGTGGGCCAGTATTCAGGGACTACAGTGTCTGTCGTGCTTTTTAATTCTTTCAAAGCACACTAAAACCAGTGTGCTGTTCAGGGGAGGCGTTAGCCTCCTTCCCCTCCACACCCCTTTTTGATTTCCAAGAGGGGATTCTGTTTGCTGCGGACCCTGGTGTGGACACACATCAGACACGTGTGGACCGTGCTGCTGTACCTCTGCGAGCATTCTCCATGGCTCCTGGTGGAAGTGGGAACACAGAATGCAGGCACCTGTGGCGTGGGCCTCTGTGGCCTCCGGCACCACTGACAGATCTCTGGGGCTTCCTTCTCTAAGTGACATAGAACTGTTGTGCTCATAAAAATGAAGTCATGAAAACAAGTAGTCCTATTTGCTGGTTTTTAAAAAAGGACATTTCAAGGGGGAAACGAGAGAATAAAAATGCTTTTTACTTTTTATGATACTCAGAAATTAGGGTGGAGCGCTCTTACAAACCTCTGGAGATCAAAGAGGCTGCTGCCTGCCAATCACAAGTATGACTGGCACCCTTCTGGATCTGACTGGAGCCATCTCTGAACTGTTTCTCTAACTTCACAAGCCTTTCTGAAATAGTACGTCGTCAGAACTATGCCTCAGTTTATTTATCATTTTAAAATAAAAATCAAACTTTCGACCTGTAATTTTATCCACATTATTTTCTTATTTAAAAGCCTCATTAGAACAATCAGTCAAGGATCTGGGACAGGAAAAATGTCCTTAATATTGGTGCCTGTGAGGTGTGCCTGGCTGTTGACAGCTGTGTGCAGGAGACTGGGGGCTGAGAGAGTCTGCCAAGGGCATTCCCCAGAATTGGGAGGTCTTGTACCATGCGTGTACGTGTGCATGTATATGCACATCTGTTCCTATTCTGGCCACAGAAGTCTTTGAGAATTAGGAAATCATGCTAAATAAAAATGGTGACCAACGCCGGGCGTTGGTGGCGCATGCCTTTAATCCCAGCACTCGGGAGGCAGAGGCAGGAGGATCTCTGTGAGTTCGCGACCAGCCTGGACTACCAAGCGAGTTCCAGGACAGCCTCCAAAGCCACAGAGAAACCCTGTCTCAAAAAAACCAAAAAAAAAAAAAAAAAATGGTGACCATCAAAGTCGTGCTACTGGGCCGGCCACCTGCTACGTGACTGCTCAGCTGCTGTTCCTCTGAAATGACAGCACGCCACTGTGGCCTCAACAGCCACACCCTCCTCACACCCTCCTGTTGTCCCTCCGCCTGTAGAGCACACAAGAAATAAGCCACCGGACTAACGTGTATCCCTAGTGGGTATTTTCTTCTTGGGTGTTTTTTTTTTTCCGTTGGTTTTAGGGGTGTATGTGTTTTAGAAATAGAAAACAGAATTGCCATGTTTTCTTCTATCCTTGCAGAGGTTTCCTGGGGGCTTGGCTTACAGCGAGACTGGGACGGTGAGGCATGTCTGCCGGCAGCTGAGGCAGTAGATAGAGTGCTCAGGACTCGGCCTTTCTCCAGGTACCAGTCTCGTGCTCGCTCGCTGTGGACAGCGCTGGCAAGCTTCGTGGTAAAGGTGGTTTCTCGGTGTTCTTAAAAAAAAAAAGTGAGACTTCTGTGTTTCTGCTTCAAAGGTGGTTTCTATTTAAGTGATGGGGTTGAGGGGAAATCTTCCCGAGTGGAACAAAGCCCTCCCAAGACAGATCTGCGCGAGTGTGGTTCCCAGTGTCACAGACTAACTAAAGCTACTGCTCCAGGCACGTCCCGGCAGAGCATTTAGCCCTCAGAGCCGCCCCGGGGTTGGGGGGGGCGCTCGCCCTCCGTCCCACGAGAGGACGCTGCCCCGGGAGAGCACGGGTCGCCCAAGCTCGGGCGCTCCCTCCCGGCCTCCCCGGAACCCGGAGGGTGGCTCCTCCTCGGGGCTGCCCGCCCCACCCGGGCAGCTGCAGCCCCGAGATAAGCAGGGCCCCGAGGGGGGGGCGGAGGGCGTGTAGCAGTGCGAGCGGCCGCTCCACACCCATACACACACACCCCGGAAACCGAGCACGGGGCCCGACCGGGACCTCCCTCGTCGGCGTCCACGCTGGCTGCGCGCGCGTGACGTCGCGGTGACGGGAAAGGCGCCGCACGGGTGTCTCAATCCGCTCGCTGCACCGTCACAGCGGCTTCCGGCAGCGGCGGAGCCCCGGGACTCCCGCCGGGGGTGGGGGTGGGGGTGGGGGTGGAGGCGCCGAGCGGAAGCAGGCGTCCCACTTCCGGCGGCGCAGCGGCCTTTGCGCCGCCCGCAAGGTCGCGGGTGAGCGCCCGCGCGTCGTCATCGCTGACGGCCTGGAGTCCCGGCCCCGTCACTCACCGGGCCGTCCAATGGCGGCGCGGGGCGGGCGGCGCGGGGCGGGGCCTGTGGCGCCTGCGCCGGAGCTTGTGGCGTCGAAGCGGCCGCCGTGTCCATGGAGAGAGGCTGAGGCTGCCCAGAGGCTCCGGCCCGAGCGAGGCTGCGGGCGGGCGGGCTGGCGGGCGGGCGCCGCGACGTGGCCATGTCGGCGTCGTTGGTCCGCGCCACGGTGCGGGCCGTGAGCAAGAGGAAGCTGCAGCCCACGCGGGCGGCGCTCACGCTGGTGAGTCGTCCCGATGGAGCCGAGCGAGCGAGCGAGCGGACGGGCCGCGCCGGGGTCACGGCGTTCCGGGAGAAAGGTCGCGCTCGGGGCGGCCGGCTGTGGCTCAGCGCCGTCACCCGCCCCCGCCTCCCGGGGAGGCCGCGTCCTCGGCGGGGCTGTCTGTCTGTCTGTGTCCACGGTGGGCCGTTGCTGGGGCCTTCGGTTAGGCTCGTCTGCGTCGCCGTGGGGTCTCGACCTGTGGGCTTGTGCCTGTGAGTCTCTCTCTCTTCCTCTGTCTCTCTCTCTTCCTCTGTCTCTCTCTCTTTCTCTGTCTCTCTTTCTCTCTCTCTTCCCGTTTGGCATTTTTACCTGTTTACTTGGGAGTCTTGGAGCTGCCCCTTCCTCCCCGACCCCTCCCTCTTCAGCAGACGTTATCTAATTCCCGCAGTGTTTTCAGAGGTGAGTTAACCCCCACTCCCGCCCCCGTCCCGCCGCCCCGGGCCCTGCCTACCAGCAATAACGTCCCGCTTGCACAGACCCTGCCCCTGCCCGGGGTTTTGCAGTCTTGCGCATCGATCTCGGTCCGCAGCCTCAGCTGCGGAGTCTGTGGTCCGAACTCCTCCTTCCGAGTTACGCCTGGTCCTCGAATCTCCTTTCCTTGCCAGCAGGAGACTGACTAGCACTGCGGTCTGCTGGCTGGTTTCAGGTGTCTGGTAAACATTTTGAACCCCAGCATGTAGCAGTTAGATAATCAAAGGCTTACTGGGGGCTGCGGTGGGGGGGGGGAGCGAGGAGACTAAGCAAGCGTAAGCGGATGCAGATTAAGTCTGTTTGCCTGGCCACAAGGGTCTGGCAGCGAGAATTGACACATTGGAACGGCTGGAGAGCGCTCTGGAGGCTGCTAGGAGCGGGCGGGCCATGGCAAGGAAAGGTGCCCGTCTCAGCTGGTGTTAGTCCTCGGGAGAATTGCGGGGCTGTGGTGGTGAGCGCACGGGTGGGGTGAAGACTGGCAAGGTCTACAAGCCAGGGATGGTTGCGGCTCACCACCGCGGATGCTTGCGGAGGCCATCCAAGGAGGATGGGCTCCTTCCTCCCAGCCCCGAGTCTCCTGGGCTGGATAAGTAGGATTGAGTTTGTGGGGAGCCCGCACACGTCCGGGTTGACAGGCCGCTTTCCCGCCCGTCGTTGTGGCAGGCAGTCTAGAGGCTCCTGCTGCCCCTGTGATGGAACCCTGGGCCCAGCCAGGCGGTGTGGGTGTGTGCGGAGACTCTAGGTCACTGTAGGCAGAAGACTGCCTGATGGAGGGGCTGAGGACGCGTGTAAGGACCTGTTACTTGGCCGGAGCAGGACCAGAAGACCTCTGAACAGCGACTGGCACGTGCCGTGCGGTTCAGAAGCTGTTACCAGGACATGTTGAGTACAGATGGTTCTAGTCGGGCGGCAGAGAGGCTGCCTAGGGTGTGAGGAGGAAGGGAGCCTGCTAGCAAAGGGTGGTGTCCTCCTGCAAGTGTGACTTTCCGCTGTGAGCTTTGCCGTCGCTAGCTCTTTGTGTCACCAGTTTGGTGGCCCTTGCAAATGCTCGATTGTACCTAAACCGCAGAACTGTAAGACTCAAACACGTTGAGCAGCCAACGGGGTGGGGGAGGGGCAGCTGGCAGAGGACGTGCTGGGAGGCATGAGTTTCCTCTCAGTTCCCAGATCACAACAGCTGGGGTGGGGGTGCTGCATACTTGTAATCCCAGTGCTGGGCCTGGGCCCCAGTGGCCAGCCAGTGACCTACTGGACAAGCCCTGGGCCTGTGAGGCAGATCTGAAACATTGACTTGGGGTGCGTTTCCCAGCACTCTGGACAGCAAAAACAGCCTTGAAGTAAGTCTTGGTTTGTGGCTGTGAGTTTTAGATTTACATGTATTTAATGTGTGTGCATATATGTGGACGCGTGTGCCTTAGTGATGGTATGGTAAGAGGGAGTCGTTTCTGACCTTCCAGCATGTGGGACCCAGGCATCAAGCTCTGTCCCGCAAGCTTGGAGGCAAGTTCCTTTACCTGAGGAACGCCTCACCAGCCCTTCAGTGGTCTTTAACACCTCCTTCAAAGCAGCCACGTTCCTATGGTTTACACAGGAGCTGATTAAAAGGCATCGTTAGGTTTTTCTTGTGTCCTTACTTCAGGTTGAGCTCTCTAGGGATGATGCGGACACAATAGAGCACTGCCCAACTTGAAGAGGACTTCGGGGAAGACCTTATCATGGCGGGTGTACACTTAAACCTGGAGTCAAGGGGCACACTTCTGTCTAGTACCAAGTACAGTGTTATACCTAGACTAAAAGGGGCACCCCACCCCCCAGCTCCAGTCAACCCCGTTCTGTTCTTTCGGCTGACAAGAACAGTTCTTCAGCTGAACAGCGGCAGTTCACTCCACTCAAGGCAGCGGCATGAGGGTCAAGTATTAGGACCCGACTGCGGTACATAATGAGTGTCTGTTTCCAAAACAAGGCAGAACCAGAGCAGTCCCTTGGCCAGTTCCGGCGTCAGACCCTCTCTTGAGAGCTCCTTAGTAACAGCTCCCCGGGAGGAGCATGGCAAAGTTAAGGTCCCATTTGGTCCTTTGACAGCTGCTCAAAGGCATTCGGGTCCTGCTGGTGTCACTGTCCCTTTGCATGTCTTTCCCTGTATACAAGATGTCAACATTAACAGCCTGTGCCTGCGTGGACGATGGTTCTGTGTCCCTTGTTTTTACTTACTGTGTTGAGCTGGTTTTGTTTTGAGAAAAACCTAGCTGTGTAGATCAAATTCATGATACTCCTGCCTCACCTTCAGTAACCAGGAGTATATGCAGCTACTGTTTAAATGTTTTCTAAGACTTGAGGAAAAAAAAAACATGCTGATTTTTAAAAATCTAATTGAGTAACTGAGAAAACCTTATGGGATAAAACTCAGGCCCAGTTAATCAAAAAGCACCCATGTGCTCTCATCTTCTCCTTTGACGTGTGCCTGGAAACCCAGGCTCTTTCAGATTCTTGCTCCAGCAAACACTTTTCTCTTGCTATGCCTTTTCTTATAAGCTCTTTGTTTTATGAGTGATTCGTCTGCATGTATGTGTACCCTGAGTGTCTGGTGTCCCCAGGGGTCAGAAGAGGGCATTGGAGCCCCTGAAACTGAAGTTAGAGATGGTGGTGACCCACCCTGTGGTCAGGTTCTCTGCAGGGACAGCTAGTGCATGCTCTGAGCCCTGAGCCACCTCTGTGCCTCCTCTTGTAAGAGTGTTTTCAGAAGTTGTGTTCTGTTGACAAAGAATAGGGTTATTTCCTCTGCACTTTCATAGCAAATATGCCCATAAAAATGTACAATGGAATACTGGAAAGGAGATGCTCGCAGGCAGTCACTTGGAAGTGTAATAAATAAGCACATTTTTAATGTCCTATTTATCCTTGATAAATCTTTTACTTTCACTAAAATTGTTTTCTTTCTGAAATTGAGTTTAGATAATTAAAACCTATTAGAATCTTTAAAATGTGCACATCTATTTAATTCACTTCAAATGTGAAGCAGCGAATATTGGTATATTCTGGCAACTGATGGCACCAGGTAGCAGCCCTAGGCTGATGTTCAGGACGACACTCTGCAGCCCCTCCTGAGAAAAGCAGCTGACAGTCAAGGTATACAATTAAGAGCAGAGGCAGGGTCTTCCCTTGCTCCTGCTCCATTACAGTTCCCAGAGCGTTTTTTCCCAAGGATTTAGAAGCATAAGCTTGCCTGTCAGTTTCTCTGGTTGCCTTGTGCTCTTGATTATTTTAGTAGCTTTTATGTGGCTTTATCTCTAAATGTCTTACTGCTGTAGCTTTATTTTATGAGAAGTACAAATAATGGCTAATTAAAAACTGCCAAGTAACCAGAGAAAAGTTCAGAGTCTTACTATAACTCAGTCTGCCTGAGCATCACAAATTAGGAGTGTGTGTGTGTGTTGGTTTCCTTTTGCAGTTTGTTTTATTTCTTTTTTTGACATGCATCTGTATGCTGGGCCTTGGTCATTGTCGTTCCACATTGACCTTACACACACACACACACACACACACACACACACACACACACACACACACACCATTGAAGCCATTCTTCCTAACAAGCCCCAGGACTTAGATACGTTGTTGTTAGAGGGTTTTTTTTGGGGGGGAGGGGTGTTTGTTAGTTTTTGAGATAGGGTTTCTCTGTGTGGTCCTGGCTGTCCTGGAACTCTCTTTGTAGACCATGCTGGCCTCTAACCTAGGGATCCACCTGTCTCTGCGTCCTGCCTTCTGGGATTAAAGGTGTGGCCACCACTGCCCAGCTTGTTGTCTGAATGCCTGTTTGTGTTAACTCCTTTCTTCTGCCCTGCTTGTTGTGCCTGTGAGCCACTAGGTCTCTGCACTGTGGCTGGGGTCAGGGCCTTACAGACCACACTGACACTTAAATAGTGCACCACACAGCATCCATTTGTGTTAATCCGCTGTGTTGTTTTCTTTTTGTGTGTGGTATGTATGTGAGGGGCCCTGGTACATGGGCACATCTCCATATCATTCATTCCTCAGGAGCCATCCATCTTTTTCTCTGAGACAGGGTCTCTCACTGACCTGGAATTCCCCATGTAGGCTAGGCTAGGCTGGCTGGCTGGCTGCCTCCCTACCTCCCCTACCTCCCTACCCCTCCTCATCACCTTCCTACCCCACCTGGCCAGATTATTGTTTGTTGTTTTGTTTTATGGAGATTGAACTCAAGACTTTGAAACAGCCTTCCCCGCCTGTAATGCACAGCTTCTCACTGTGTGTTGTTTTCATTGTTGACTCTGTATTCTCTAAGTTGATTCTGTGACTCTTGGTTTGATTCCACATTGTATTTGCACTTAATCATCTGTCCAAGCCTCTAAGTGAGATCTAGGGCCAGGCCTGTCCCCGAGCACTGGCCTGATGCTTGTTAGACATGATCTTAGTAGACCCTGCCAGTTGAAATAGCTAATGAACAAAACAGGGTAGGAAGGTCAGCACTCCCTTGCTGCGATCTCTCACCTTTGTTGCTGTAGCTGCCAGTTTGCACTGTGCCCCATCCTCTCCTGGACTTAATGCCACACACTCCAGGCTGCCCTGGCGGCTTTTCAGAACTTAGTCTTCACAGGAATCCTAGGGAACAGGATTATCCCTGTTACCTCAAGTAGGAATTGTTAGAAGAAACTGTTATGTTGTCTACCTTTGGGACATACCCAGGGATTAGTCCAAGAATGTAGCATGTCAGACTAGGTTCCCAGCATCCTCTACGGGAAGGTGGACACTGATCTGAGGGCAGTCCTCATCAGGATGTTTTCTCCTGCTGAAGGCCACTAACCTAGGCTGAACTGCATTCTTAGCAACACAGTCACATACTTAGTCCTGTCACTGAGGAACGTGGCTGCTCACCTAGATATCCTGGTATGTTGTTGACCCCCACTGGAAGTCTGTGCCTAGAGGCAGCTCTAGCCATGCGTTCAGATGGATCTATCTGAAGGGGATTGAACCAACAGGGAGAGCACCCAAAGCTTGGCTCTTCTGCTGATAGGCTGTGTGTGAGCACTGTGCTTGTTGCGGGGTATGCCATAGATGCACAGAATCTGGTCTTCCCAGGAAAAGTGGTTTCTGTTGGTGGTAGTGTGATGTGGCTGTGGCTTCCGAGGATGAGCTTCCTAACTGTTTTTGTTTTTCCAGACCCCCTCAGCTGTGAACAAGATAAAACAGCTTCTCAAAGACAAGCCAGAGCACGTAAGTAAGGCCTGGGAAAGGTTGGGGGAACTAAAGTTCTGTTCTCAGGACAAGTGTATTTTGTTGCAAATACATGTTTTCATTTTTTACAATGTTTGATTTTGTTAGTTTTTACATTGCTAAGGACTCAATCTCCTGGCCAGACTCATGCCAGGCAAGTACAGGGAGCTGCACCCAAATTCTTGAATCACACAGGGTGTTTTTCCATAAAAAACAGCTACTCACTACTCAAAACCCTAGACAGCCAAGACTCCACATTGCCACTCTTAGGCCAGCGGCAGCCCGAGTGCATCTGTGTGCTCACTGTGGCCGGGCACTCTCTCCCACTGCATGCTGCATGGCAACAGCACGTTCTCTCCTTATGTTGTAACAACCTAAGTCTCTCCAAGGAACCACCGCCAGCATGCTGCTTGTTCTCATGTGCATCTCCTTCTGTAGATGACAGCATGCTTGGTTACACTGTTTTCACCTAATAATTCAGCCTGAAGACCTCGCAGACCTGAAGGTCTCCCCTTTCATGGCTGCACATATTCCACTGAGCAGGTTTGATTGTTCCGCTGGTCCTTTGTATGAAAGGCTGCCACGGGCATCATTTACCAGCTGTAGTTGAAGTGGGCCATGCCTGGCTTGCCATGCCCACAGAGGATCTTTCCCTGCATGTAGGGTAGTTGAGTTAGGCTTGTGAATCGCTTCAGGCTGTGGCCTGTGCATAGTGGTTCTGGGATTGTTTTCTGGATTCTCTTGTGCTACGTGACTGGACTTCTTGAACGTTCATCCTAAAATCTGTTAAGTGCTGACATGTATCAGCCTTCTGACTCTGAACTCTCTAGCACATAAATTGACCAAAAATTCCATGAAATTAGCCTTGTAGATTTGTCCTTAGTGGTGTAAAATGTGTAGTTTATAGCATTAACTTAAATTCCTTTTCCAAAACTCCCATTACCGAAACCTTCCTGGACTGGAATTGTATAGAAACAAGGCTACCTTTGAACTCAGGGGAGATCCACCCATCTCTTCCTTCTGAGTGCTAGGGTTGAGCTAGCACGCCTGCCTAAAACTGAAGTTTCTGGTTCTGAAGAGGGTTTCTGTTTGGTTTTGCTTTCTGTGTTTCTGGGAGTGCGTGCAGGACTTGAGACATGCTGGGCAAACCTCTGCTGCAGAACTGTACCCTCACCCTGTCTTACACACTAACGTCCACTGCCTAATGTCTGATGACTCCTGATTACAGAGATAGAAACTAAAGCCTGCGCTCAGGAACCATCCATGCAGCTTATTCCCATTTGGAATAATAAAATGCCTTCAGTCTAAGCTTTGGGAGCAAGCACACCTCACAGGGTTTCACAGAATTGGAGTGCCCTGGTAGGGAAGGACTTAGTAGGACTTGACTGTTTACTTAAAAGGCTTAATTTGTGATGATGGGGTAGCCTACTGTGGGTAGACGTATCCCTATCCTGGTGGTCCTAGGCAATGTTAAGAAAGCAGGCCGCAGGCCGCAGTCCGAGCAAGCCATGAGGGAAGCAGTGCCCCCCATGGCCTCCCCTTCTAGTCCCCTTCCCCTACACACAAAGTTTAAACTTCTGGGGTCTTTGACTTCCTGGTATTTGGAATGTTTTGCCAAACTGCCTTAGGAAGGAGGCTCCTGTGCAGAGGCAGGATGGTTACCAGGTGACAGGATGATCCTAGGTGCTTACTGACCATGGGAGCCTCCAGAGAGTACCTCCCAACAAAGTGGAAGGAGACCTATAAAGGAAGCCCGGGTTTAACGACAAAACCTACCATCAAATGCCCTTTTTCAAAAGAAAAGAAGCAGCCCTTGTGCCTCAGCCTCCAAAACAGGTACTGGACTCAGGGTGTAAGTCTTCACAGTTTACATTCTCGATTCTTTTTAGGTGGGTCTGAAAGTCGGTGTGCGAACCAGAGGCTGTAATGGCCTCTCTTACACCCTGGAGTATACAAAGACAAAAGGAGATTCTGATGAAGAAGTTATTCAAGATGGTGAGCTCTCGTCATTTTGAGACAGTTCTTTTGTAGCCCAGGCTAACCCTGAACTTCTTATGTAGCCTTAATTCCTGCTCCAGTTCCCATGATGGGGTGTAAGTGTGGTTTTTTTTTTTGTTTTTTTTTTTTTTGGTTTGTTTGTTTTTGTTTGTTTTTTGGTTCTGTAACATTTTATGGGCACTTTGTCCTGGTGAAAACTTTTGTCCTTGTACGAAACTGATGTAAAGACTGCTGTCCATGTTAGGAATAGTCTGAGTGGTGCTTGCTACATGCCCAGCATTGGCAAGCAGGCTTCGTTATCTGTGCAGCCACTAAAAGGAGAGTTAGTTGTGGCATTTTTCCTGGCTTCTGTTGAAGAACTTGGTGCAAGGAGAGGCTTGCAAACTGGAAAGCCCAGGGTCTCACACAAAAGTACCTAGTGAAGCTTTGAACACCATCAGTTCTCTCTGAGGGTTTGGAGAAGCTGTGTTTTGTTTCGGCTCCAAATGTGAAGGTTTTTGGATTGTTTTTGTGTCGTCTCCCCCCCCCTTTTTTGAGACAGGGACTTCATGACGTAGCCCAGTTTCAGACTCTTGGTTCTCTTTCCCGTAAGTCCTGAGTGCTGGAATCACAGACCCTTGCTGTGATTGCTGAGGGTCAAGTTCATCATCATGGGGTTTTAAGAGTTGTGTCAGTGTGTGAAGTCAGAGGTCAGCTTTTGAGAGTAGGTTCTGGGTATGAAAACTGCGGTAGTCAGGATTGCACGGCAGGCTCCTAAAGGAGCCAGGACCCCTCACCACACAGACTTTAACCCCATAAAGTGACCGTCCAGCCATTGCTGTTGAGACCGTTCGCGTGGGTGTGCGTGTTGGTGCAGATCCCCAGAGCCAGGAGGCAGTTGTGAGCTGCCCGGGTGGATTTTCTGCGGGAGCCACACATGCTCTCCAGCCACAGCTTCACTTTTGAGGACTTTTTCTTAATTTATCAGTTACTGCTTTTGACACCAGCCCGTGTCATCTAGTAAAACCCACCAAGGAGTAGGGTACAGTGGCTCAGGCTTAATACTACTACCATTGGCAATAGGATCTTATGTTTTGGGTTCAAGATAAGGTCAGGCCAGCCTGGGCTAGCAAGATCCTATAAAGGACAGCTCTGCAACCCTGGAGAAAGAGAGAGCCACGGGTTTGTGTACTGAATGTGTTGTTAGTAGCTTGCAGCCCTTTTTGTGTGAGACAAACAGGAATTGATTATATTCACAATTGTACTTCCATCACATTTAACTGAAATAATTAACCAATAAAGGCCTTTTTGAAATTAAAAAAAAAAAATGGAGCTGAAGAGATGCCCAGAGGTTAAGTGCTGTGGCTGTTTAGAGGACCAGTACCCATATAGTGGCTCACAGCCATCTGTAACTTTTGTTCCAACACCCATCCTCTTCTGGCTTCCACAGGCATTGCACACATACCTACAGGCAAAACACCACACATGAAAAAATCTTTTTAAAATGTCAGTTCAAAAATGCAAGCTTCGGTTATTCTACAGAGGACAGGACCTATAGTGTGCATTCATGTTTAAGAGATGTTCTTGTATTTTTAAGAGGTTGTCTCTCCTGCAGTGACAAGGGAATGTTACTCATTTTTAAGGCCTTCAGCGGATTACGACTCTGGGTCCTATGGGCATTCTCTAAAGTCCATGTCTCGTTGTTTGGTCTTGGTTTATATGGTCTGGTTAGAAATGCACCATGGAACAACAGTACTGTGGGCGTTTTACAGGCGTTTTTAAAAACTCACAGAATTACACGTTTCCTATAGCAGATTTGGGGGCAGGGGTGAGTAAAATACAGTGAAAGGCAGACCACATTTTACAGAAATGCCCGGGGATTTCCGTATGTAAATAGGTCTTCCCTGTTATAATTAGCTGGGCACAGACTGGGCTGGTGGGAAGCTGTGTGCTTCCTCCCTGTAAAGAAACTCTGGAGTTACCCAGAAGCTGTGGGGTTATCATGGTACCCACTGGAAACTCGATGGCAGGTTCTCCACACTGCAGGCTGTATGTGACATGTGTTTTCTTTTCCCCAAGGAGTCAGAGTGTTCATCGAAAAGAAAGCACAGTTAACACTTTTAGGAACAGAAATGGACTATGTGGAAGACAAACTATCCAGTGAGTTTGTTTTCAATAACCCCAACATCAAAGGAACTTGTGGCTGTGGTGAAAGCTTCAACATTTGAAACCTCAGGACTCCAAGCTCCAGGAGAGCCGGGATCTACCTGGGAGCTTTCTGAAGAAATCATGTGATTGTCGCGTGCTCAGAGTTTATAATGTGTGGCCATCTCAAGGGGAAAAATAAAGTGATGCATTTTGGAAATCACGCCAGTGTGCTAAGAGTCCCAAAAACTTGATATCTATATCTGAGAGACCATTGGTTTCTTTGGGCCGTTCTTCTGTTCTATACAGAAAACTCCTGCCTTGCTCTCAACACTGCAGTGGGCTTTGTGGCCACAGACAACAGATATGCACCCATAGATCCAGGCGGGGCAACTGTGGGTGACAGCGTAGTGGTACCTCATTCCCCTCTCACATTTGCCATGGCCTTTTATATTTTTATTAGAAACATGGTTATCAGATGCCTCGTTTGCCTGCCCCTCAGCAGTTCCAGGCGTCTGAGTGATGGTGTCAGAAGGGGAGAGCTGCCCGGCCTGTCTCAGTCTGTCCTCTAGGATGTGCTTGGAGATGATTTGCTTAGACTTTCAGTTGGAGGCTGTCGTGACCAGCAGCCAGCTAGCTCACTGCGCTTCACCCTGTGCGTGTGGAGACAATCTGAGCACAAGTTAGAAGAGCTAGACAGCACCCAGCTCTCCTTCCTTTCTGCACAGGTGACGCCCATGCTGCGTGAGACACTCGGGGGTGAGTGGTGGGTGGCCTGGGCAGCATTGTCATTAGACTTTATTTTATGGAGATTGTATTAGTTTTCTGTTGAATGGAGAAGCCTCATTTAAACCCTTTGTATGAATTGTTTGTTTAGAACTTTAAAACAGTAGTTTCTTACAGAGATCCCACAGGACCTACAGAGCAGAGCATGGAAGTGTGGTCTTAGAGTTCCCAATATGCGTATACTCTCTGGTTCCTAAATGAAAGAGCTGAATTTTTAGTATTTTTATCATCCATCTTTCGAGGTGTGGTTTTGCTGTAGTACAGGCCAGCCTCACTCTCAGCCCTCCCGCTTCAGCTTTGAGACATGCCAAGCTTTTCTTCAGAGCGGTCTTGACTTGTGTTGACATCTTAAGTGACCTGTGATTTTCATGAAGTAGCTGGGTTAATATTTGCGCTATTTACTAAAGTACCTACCACAAAATACACCGTGTTGATAAGTCTGTATCATAAACAGAATTGTAGAATTGTTGGTACATCTTTAATTTGTGCAATATTGTATGTAGCAATTGAGTATCAATTAAAAAACACCTCTTTGTGATCCTAATACTGTCTTTTGTGGGGTGGGGAATTGGGGTAGTTAGCTGCTAAAGCCACAGACAATTGCCATTTTATGCTACTGTCTCCAGAAGCCTAGGAGCACACTGGAGATGGTGCCGTCTTGCTTTGCGATTTGTTTGTGGTACACACACATACACACACACACACCATCCCTCCATTTGACACAGATAGCCTCCAGTCCATCATCCGCACTCCGGATGCTTTTCCTTTGTTGCCTAACTTCAGCTTCTCTTTCTTCCAGAAGGGTCTTAGCAGTTCTGATCCAGTGAGACTGTCCTGAACCTCACAGAGCTGGCAAATGAACCAGACAGCACTGAAGGGTATTGGTACTGTACCTGTCACGAGTGGGGTACTTGCCAGAACTGTTCTCAAGCAGTAGGTCACACATGAGAATCTAAAGCATGACATGAGCAAATAGTTTTACACATTAACCCAGTCAGCATTCACACACACACACACACACACACACACATACACACACACATGCTCGGAACAGGTACAACATATACTGAATATTTTGATGGCCTCTAGGGGTGGGAGGCAGGTGGAAGATGGCCTCAAGGTTATGTCCTCTAAGCTGAGTTTTAAAGACAGGAAGTGCAAAGGGGAGAATGAACAAAACTAACTGGTTTGAAAAAATGTAGAGGGAAGCTATGCCCTGAAAAAAACAAGGCACAGGAAGGGGGGCTTGAAACAGACTCTGAGCTCTGCAAGGGCATCAGTCTGTACAAGGGAGTCCTCAGAATACAAGGTGCAAGCCTACAAGCATAGCATTGGGAAGCTGAGGCAGGAGGATTGAACATTCAAGACCAAACTTGAGGCTGTGTGTGTGTGTGTCTGAAAGAAAACAGCATTCAGAAGTGTCAGCCCTGTGCTTTTACAACAAAGTGGGCTAGAAGAGGGTAGGATGGGGCTGCTGCAAAACCCTGGAGGGGACAGACAGGGACCAGTGTGACTCGGGTTATGGAGGTACAGCAATACCTACAGTTTGGGCTTGGAGTTTTCCTCTTACAAGGCCAAGACAGGAACTCAGCTGCTCTGGTGGTGTGGCTCCACAGGTGCATCCTTTCAGACAGAATGGCACAACCTGTAATCCTAACAACCATGTCCCTCAAGCCGCAGCCCCAACCAGGAGGTTCTCACATATCCATACAAGCCTTGTGCCCCCCAACCCCCACCCCCGTGACCTGTGGGGTATCAGATGTTGTGCCAGGAGCCTCCAAGGTGGCAAATGTCTTTCTCCATATAACCTCAGTTAAAACAAACTTGACTGTGCTGGCCAGGAAGCTCCGAATTGAATGGGCGGAGCCCCGCCGTGGTTAAAAATACTCCTTCGTGCAGTTTCAGAAGGCCATCCTGCTGCGCTTCATTGTTCTGAACCGTCTCCCAGACCCCCTCTCTGCACCTACAAGAATGCCTTTTTTCCTCAAGCAGGAAGGGGAGTAGGACGTTGGGAAAAAAACCCGCACGATTGGGGGTCCCTAAGATACTCAGTACTTCCTAGGATTGATTCAGCAGGAAATACCTCAAAGAAAAAAAAATAGCCCTTGTCATGTTTTGATGTGTGAGCGATCAGGAGTCCCCTCTGTGATGTTGGGCTGAGCACTCGTTTAAGCCCCAGGGCATCGTTGACTGGGGCCAGAGACAGACTCGGCCCAGAATCAGCACAGACACTGCCAGTCTTGGGATGAAAGCTGGCCTGGATTTGATCCCGTGGAAGAAAGGATCCATCTACCCTTGACCTCAGCTGGTGTTCTCAGAAGAGCACACAGAGAGCAGGGTCACAGCCTTGTGACTACACGGACATGCTGCCGTCATGATCCAGTAGCCCAGAATGCCAGGGTTCCTCGGCAGAAGCTACAAGAGAAGCATACAAGAGGTCTTTCCCAGCAGCCTTTGGGGAAACATGGACTTCCCCGACAGCTTCATCCCGAATGTCTACTCTCCGGACACGTGCAGACCGGATTTCTATTAAGTTGCCTGGCTTGGGGGGTTTGTAGTACATGCAGTTTGCCAAATGTCAGAATCTCAAATGCCCCACCCATCTTGGGCTATCTTAGCACAATTGAGCGTGTGTCCCTTACCTATTATGACTTTCCAAGGTTTGGTCTCTGTAAGGATTCAGGCCTGCCCGTCCCCTGGCAGAATGCACTCAGGCAGTACCTTGGTCAGCCCAGGTGCAAAGGACCCCTTTAAAAGAAAGCCCTCCGCCCACTTATGCCCTCTTCCCCGTGGCTCCCCTGGGGCAGACAGGACTTTTCTTGTGTCCTCTTCTCTTCTGTCCTCTCTCTGTGTCTTTCTCTTTTCTCGTTCCTTCCCCTTTCTAATAAAACTTCTCACTTAAGCTCTGTCTGCCTGGCATGTTTGTCCCCACCCCAGTCACCCTAACCTGCCATGGGGTCCACCACGCAGGGTTCCCAAGGCTCAGGGCCACAGCGTAAGGGCAAATAGAAGAACGTAAGAGCCAGAGGAGAGGCACTGGAAATGCCACCTTCTGGGTGTGGCAAGGCTGTGGCGCTCAGGAACCCACACAAGACCTGCACAACGCAAACAAAGCTGATAACACATTGATGGCAGCACTAACTGCACTTAGTGGGGCAGCACTAACTGCACTTAGTGGGGCAGGGACGGAGGGGATGGTGGGAGGGAGTCACGGTAGTTATCAAGAGAGATTGAATTAATGCATGAAATTGTCAAGAGATAACAAGATTCAAACATCTTAACAACTGAAGTTTTTCCTAAGTGATTTACAACACTTCATTTCCTATAAGCTATCTGAAAGGGTAAACTAAACTCAAGGGCTTCACTTCTAATAATTTAGAAATAAAGGGAGCAGACCTCACTCAGCCCCTACTTTAGCAGCCATGATAGGCTACAGAAAAGACACGTAGGCCCCTGACACAAGGAAACTCCAGATCCTCTGGCCTCCCGGAGTCTAGGGCTAAAACTGAGCACAAAGAAACTCCAGACCCCCGGCCCAGCTTCCTAGATACTTCGTTCCTGGGAACTGTTTGGCCACAAAAGAAACTCCAGGGAGAACCAAAACCTCCCCTGTGGTCTCCAGGATATAGTTCTGAAAACTATTGGTATCTATGTACAACAGGCCTCATGTAAGTAACAGGACAATGCCATAGAAACCACAGAATGTTCCCTTTCAGCACCGACCAATGAGAACAATTGGAACACAGGTATTTCATGACAAAATAGGACTTTGAGAAATTCTCCTGATTGTTCCCAAATGTCAGCCAATCAGAAACCAACCCATACCTACTGATGTAATCCTGTATCTTGTCTTTAAAACCTAGCAGTAGACAGGGAACTTCACTCCCTCTGGAGGCTGCTGCATCAGCTTGCTAGACAGGGTCCCTGTCATGGGTGGATGAACAATTAAAACCTTGCTTTTGCAGTTTAGTGGGTTTGTCTTCCTGGTGGTCTCTGGGGGACTTTGCAACTTGGGCACAGCACTATCTGGATATAGAAAACAGTTCCAACATTTGCTGGGTGCTTGCTAACTTTATTGCTAAATTATGAAGAGCAAACCTAGCACCTTATGTCTGTCTCCTGGGCAAGCACCCTACCCCAGTTCACTGCTGAGCTGCGTCCCCAGACCAAGTACTTACAGCCTGTATTAAGCCCTGTACACAGGGACTTACTTACCATCACAACCAACTCAGCAGTGTTGCTCCTCCTCTGGTGCGTGAGCTAAACGGATGCCTTGTCTGCTTTCTATAAAACATTCTACTATAAAAATAGACTTGAGACCCGCAGCTGGGAAGGGTGCACTTGGACTCACAGGGTGGGAAGTTTGAGGCCCTTGGCTTTAGAGCTGCAGGACCCGTTGTGAGTCAGAACAAAATGATAGACTTAGGATGCCGTGAGGCGGCTGTGCATAGCTCACAGTGGAGCAAACCCAAGCCAAACCAAATCCCAGCGTGGAGAGGGGACTCCAGCAGGAAATCCCACCCCTAGCCATAGAGGTACTGGCAACTGTTAGCTTCTGGGAGAGGGAGAGCGTTTTCTCTAAGAGCGTAGCCTCTGACAAGTCAGCCGTGTTCCCGTAAAGGCCACACACCCCAGAACATTTGGGCTGCACAAATTGATCCTGATAGGTTTTTGGTTTGTTTTTTAGAATACAAAATTAGCCAGGCATTGGTGGCGCACGCCTTTAATCCCAGCACTCGGGAGGCAGAGGTAGGCGGATCTCTGTGAGTTCGAGGCCAGCCTGGTCTACAGAGCGAGTTCCAGGACAACCTCCTAAGCAATACAGAGAAACCCTGTCTCGAAAAAACCAAAAAACAAAATTGGGTGGGTGGGAAAGAGTTTGGGAAGGAGACGAATGTGATCCAGACATACAAAACTCCCAAAGAACATGATTGTTGGTTTGTTCTGTTTTTTGGAATTTTTTGTTTGTTTGTTTTGGTTTCGTTTTGTTTGGGTTTCAATGTGTAGCCTTTGTCTATCCTGGAACTCACTCCGTAGACCAGGCTGGCCTGGAACTCATAGAGGCCCCATCCACCTCAGCCTCCCGAGTGCTGGGATCAAAGAAGTCGGCCACCATCACCTGGCTAATACGTGTTTTTAAACCAAGTTTAAAACAGGAAGGAAACAGTGAGGGCCCATCCAGCTGGTGAGACAGAATGAGAGGGAAAAGGAAACCAGGGGCTAAGTTGTCTTCAAAGGAGCCCGTGACAGAGGACTTTGGTCCCCACCTCTAAAAAAGAGGCTTCGCATCGCCCTTCATCTGGGAGGCAGCCTTCATTAATGAGCACGCGTGCCTCTCAGGGACATTCCAGACAGGTAAGTTTGCCCATGAATGGTTCCAACACTGGCGGTTTTCCTAACTGCAAAAGCACCGTGCCAGCGATTTTCAAGCTCAGTGAATTGAAGTCCCCTAAGGTGTGGGTTACAGAGCGGCCTCAGCAGGTAAGAGTCCTGGCTGCTCCCCCAGAGCGCCCCCACCTGGCAGCTCACAACCGTCTG